CTGGACACAGGCAGTTCGCAAGTGACTGATGCGACATCAAGCTCTACACTGGACACTCCACCGACCTCTTTTCTGTGCAATGAAGGTGCTGAACGAATCCAAATCATCTGGACATCTCCAGCGAGCACCTTGGAGCCTCAAAACAGGCAGGCATCAGAAGTGCCAGACAGCAGGCCATGCCAACAGCCAGTGCTGTTCACCCATCAAGGAACACAGGCAAACGTTCGAAAAATGTCAGCACAACTAACCGTAGAGAAACGTAGATGGACCCGACGAGTCACCACCCTGCGAAACCAAGTGGAGAGACTCAAGAACACGGTTGACAGATACAAAAAAGACTTGGAAAAGTTGCGGAACCTGAGGGAAGAAGATGATGTCACAAATTTTCTTAACATCCGTGAACAAGCAAAGGAAAAGAACATATCGGCTATGTTTCTAGTCGACCAAGTAAAGAACTACCACAAGAAAAGCCCAAGGTGGACAGAACATACCATCCGTCACTGCATTTTGCTGAGACACATTTCTACGAAGGCCTATGAACACATAAGGTCTGAAGAGCTTTTTAAACTTCCCAGCAGGAACACTCTGCAAAGCTACATTGGAGCTGCCTCAGGTCAAACTGGCTTCAGCGACTTGGCGAAGGCTCGGCTTCAAACAGAACTACACAACCTGGCAAACACACAATCAAGGACATGCTCTCTCATTATTGATGAAATGCAGATCAAACAGAGCTTGCAGTACAACAAGCAGCAGGATGTCTTTGTGGGCCAAGTGGACCTGGGACCATTGACTGAAAAGACCAAGCAGCCCATCCTGGCAAATTCGCTGCTGTGCTTTCTCATGAATGGGCTCAGCATTCCATACCGGATCCCTGTTGCCTACTTTTTTACCAAAGGGTTAACAGGGACAGAACTGGCCAAGCTTCTGCTTCATGTCTTGGGCAAGGTGGAAGACGTTGGCTTCAAAGTACTCCGGATTGTAACTGACAATCACCGAGTGAATGTCAATGCAATGAAGCAGCTTTGTGGGGGACTCCTTACACATCATATCCTGCACCCAAATGACCCGGAGAGGATTCTGTTTCTTAGCTTTGACTATGTTCACATCTTGAAGAATATACGGTCCCAATTCCTGGAACGCAACTTTGGAAAGGACAATGAGATCAAGTCCTTCTACCTCAAGAAGTTGTACGAGCTGCAGAGAGAGGCGGCTGTCAAGCCAGTCAGGTTCCTGAGTCGCAAACATCTTTTCCCTAGCAACATAGAGAAAATGAATGCCAAGAGAGCAGTCCAGCTCTTCTCCCCTGAAGTGACAGCTGTGCTCAAGCACCTCCAGGAACAAGCTGGCCATACGAGTGACCTACTGTATGCGGACGCAGGACCAACCATCTTCTTCATGGACTCTGTGTACCGCTGGTTCATTTTGCATGATACCAGTAACTGCACACAACACATACACCAACGCTACCCAGATGTGCGCCAGTATGATCACCCAGACGACCCTCGTCTGGAATGGCTCGAGTTTTCATTCCCAGCCTATCTCGAGCAGATCAAGAGCACGGCAAGCCCATCACAGTTCCTGACGACAGAAACCTACGAAGCCCTTCTCTTGACAACATACTCGACAGTTGCATGTGTACAACACCTTCTCACCAAGGAAGAGTTTGGATTTGTACTGACCAGGAAGTTCAGCAGCGACGCCATTGAGTCCCTGTTTGGCTCATTGAGACGATCTCAAGGGTGCAATGACCAGCTTAGCGTTCGGGCTGCAATCTCAGGAATTGAAAAGATCCTGAAGACTGGTCTCATCACAGCTTCCCAGCAGAGCAATGTGTCACATGCTGCCTCGACCTCATCGGGTATGACTTCAGCAATTCGGTGCATACCACCAGCAGTGTCAGCTGCCACGCCATTCCAACTTCCACAGAGTGCAGCGGAAATCTTAGAAAAGCTGTCAGATCCCAATGTACAATACCTGCCAAGCCTCGAGCTGTCGGCGACAGCGCACGTTGGGGGCTACATTGCCCGTGTTGTACAAGAACACTTTTCATGCTTCTTCTGCATACCTCTTCTTACAAAGCCGAAGACAAACAGTGCCTTGCAAGGGATCACAAACCACCTGGACCGGGGAGGCCTTTTGTATCCCTCAGATGAACTTGCCCACCTTCTCAATGTCCTCAGGATGTTTGCAGCGGATGTGTTGTCGTACAACCTCAGGAATTGGCAGCCCCTCGAAACTCTTGTGAAGTTTGCACTGCCAGCAGTGTATGACTCTCCTTTGCTGCTCTGCCCAACGAACAACAAGGCTCATCGCCGTGAACTGATCCATCTTGTCTGCACAAAGTTCTTCAGACCGCTCCTTGTTAACTATGCCTTCTGTCACACAGACAGGAACGATAGATTTAAGATGTTTGCACGAAAGCCTCTATCTCGGAAGTTTCAGAAGGTGAGGTAGAGTGCACGCAAAGGTAGATTAAAGCAGTGTTTTTTTTTTTTTTTTTTTTTTCTTTTTCTACCTTTAGTCAAGCGGAACTCTGTTCATATGTATTTTATTTGGCCTTGGCATTTAGTGATTTTGTGTCCCAGTTGGTCTTTCTGCGCAAATTATATGATATATGTATAAAGATTATATTTGTTTCCAAGGAGTTTACTGGGTGCCTTTACTCCCGCTAATAAATCCAGCACCTGCTACAAGTCGGTTTTCCCTTAAATTTGGTCGGATTTCCAGCACTCGTCACTGCAACGTGACTCGATCACGTTCCACCGGTAACATAGCACAACACTACAGCAATGTTTTGTGTTGCTAGGGTTTGTTTTAATGCGTTGAAACGCATCAATTATAAAAAAGGGAGACAAAATGTTGTTGCAAAACTTCTTTCAGCAGAACTGCTGTCCCTTATTTAGACACAGTTCGATTCTTGCTTATCACTGCTCACGACGTAGCATTTTTTTTTTTTTTTTTCATTTAGATAATTTAACATGCTGAAAATTTAGACACGATGCAATATTATCATATGGAAAGCCTTTGACCAGCGCGACTGCGTAATAGAGAAAGCCGAACTCTCGACCGACGTTTCACTGCCTTGCCTGACCTCAATTTTGCTCTCTTCTGACGTTCGAGCTTGCAAACCCTGCTGGCGGAAATTATTAATACTGCAGCGCTTTTCCTACTTACGCACAATTCAGGTTAAGATTGCGTTGTAACCCAGATACTGCTCCTCATCCGGGGTTCGAGTCCAATCACAGCGGCTCATGGGGTTCTCACCGAGTTGCCGCCGTGCACGCCGATATTTGGCCATTTGGCCGCCGAGCACGTCCGGCGAATCTTCTGCTCCCTTCGGGAAGGGCCATGGGCTTCACCGCACAACACAACATGTACGCCTAGCTGGCGCCGCCACGCGGGAACCACACGCACTTTTTGCCGGCCGCCTTTGCATTGCCGGAGCCACGAGCTGACGGGCATTGTACACTTATATAGGAGGCTCTGCCCTGCCCTACTGCGCACGCGCAGTAGTTGCTTCGTTTACCACACGATAGATGGCGCTTGGCTCTCAGCATTATCAAATTTGGCAATTTTCGCCACACATCTCTAATTATGCTACAAAATGTGGATCTGAATATTATTTAACAAAACTTTTAGGAAACATTCGCCGGCTATTTATTGTTTACGATCGCGGTGCTGGTGAGGTAGGCTCTTACCCAATAGGCGATGTGGATTCGGCTGACGTGCACCGATTCTGCGTATGCATCGTAGTGAACAGGCGAAGGAAAGAAGGCGCAACAGAGTCCAGTTTTCTTTTAAAAGTTCTATAGCAAATAATTTTTTTGGGCTCCCTATTTTTGTGTTTTTGTGTTTCTTTTCACACCTTTTACGACGTGCGGTGGATGAAACTCGATTTTAAAATCATTTCATGGTCCCTTTAATGCCCGGCGAGGTTGCTCGGTCACAAATTTTGCGTTACATCATATTACAGCAGAGCTGTTAAGGGCTAGTTTCTCCAGTATCATGTTTGTGGACAAACAAATGTCGACACAAAACTCCAGACAGCTACTGCCATCTATGAGCGACAGCGGCAACCAGACAACCAGTTGTCTGGTTGCCACCGTCGCTCATAGATGGTGGCAACCTTTCCAGCCTTTCCACTCTGGTTTTCACCAGGGTGGAAAGGCTGAATTTCTCTAGGCGTCGTCCTAGAAGTCATCCTTGAGGTTGTGTTAGACATCGTCCTTGAGGTCATCCTACGGAATGTCGCACTCTCGGATGTCGTGATCCTCCGGGTCTCCGACGTTGCGATTTTCCGATCCGACGGCGAGAGTTGGGTTGCTGCTTCCCAACTCCCGTCTTCAAAGTTTTTCTGGACGGTCAGGCAAGATCGCGACTAGCGACAGCACGGCACTGGTACGACTTTGTCGGGCGGAAATCGAGGGACCACTTTTGAGGACGACACACCGGTGGGAGACGCGTTGCAGGCACTGTAGTAAAACTTCAAAGAGACACCAAACTCCTGGATAACATTTTTTTAAATCCCGAACCGCTTTTTAACGGAATCCCCCGATCCCCCAATTCTCTCCGTCCATTTATCTGTGCTTGTCAACTTTATTGCAACGACCGTCGTAGCGAGCCTCACGAACGATCGACTCAATGGGCCGGAGGAATAAATAATTTTTATTCGAATGCAATAAAAAAAGATTAAAATATGGCAAAATAAAGAACTAAATACATAAAATAATGAAAATAAAATGCTAAAGTTTAAGATTAAACAAAAAGAGAAAGTAGATAATAAGAATAACACAAAAATCGAGCAAAACCAGACAGAGAGAGTAATTTGCGGGGACCCATTCTGCTCTACCCGGTCTTTGGCGGCACGATCGAGCTCGCGTAAGTTTTTGATGCGATGCACGACGCCGGCGTTCTTGCGCAAAACGAAGCTAGAAAAATGCTAGACACAGACTTTGGCTCCAGTCTTTACCTTCCGACACGCGTTGTTTCTTGCCCCGCAGAACCAGTCGTCCAAGTACACGTTCACGGTGCAGAACGGCCTCATCAACGTCATGGCGCCGGAGATGATGGTGGCTGGGGGCGACTCCAACTGAACCCTCCCTCTCCTCCGTCACCCTCACCCGACCATGTACATACCACGGGCGCGAGGCCCCCTCGCACGGCAGATGCGCGTCGGAGACGGCGGTTACGGCGCAGCTAGGGGTGTGTGCATACCCAAAATGGTGTTTCGGATTCGAATTTACTCCGTATTCGAACGTATTCGAATCGGAACGTGCCTAAAGAATATTCGGATGCTTAGAAACCATTCGGATGTTGACCGAAGCGCGTTTGAATTTGTGTTTCGATGCAGTCTACCGTAATGTCCCGAGAGATGGCCCACCTTAGATTGAAGGCGAGTTGGGAGAAAATAAAGTGTAAACTAACTTTCGGTGTGCGATAAAAAGAAAAGTAGAAAGAATGCAGTTTTAGATTTTGCGACCTGCGAAAGTTGAGTTTGCAGGGAGGGGCAACGAACCAAAGACGACTCATTCCCAGTCAGCAATGTTTGCGCATCCTTTGCCGTGGCTGAGTAACACCGTTTTTGCTACGGTCACTGTTGCAATTACTGGAAGTGGGCTCTGTCTTTTGGCGTTCCCTGTCCCGTCAAAAAGAGGGGACAGGTTATCTTTCGGGGGTGGGGCATCTCTCGAGATATCACGGTAAGTGTATTCGAATCCACATTTGAATGCAGCCGAGGCAGATTCTAATTTGGAATCAAACACAGATGCAGAGTATATATCATTTGCATATATTTAGATTGTATGTACCTTAATAATGTTCGAATTTAGCGGAAGTGAGTGAATGGTGCTTTCCTTTATCGTACGCTATGCCCTTGTTACTTTTTCTGTGCTTCAAAGTTTAACTGTTAACTGTTGTACTTTTTTTATCTCACTGTCTTTTTTTAATATTATGTTCTGTCGTTCCATCTCCTGGGAGCTCCATTTGCTGATGTAAAAAGGTTGTTGAAAAGGAAAGAGCTATCCAAATGTCCCGAATTTCTTTTTACAAAAAGAAGAAAAAGCCATTGCGTGTAAATAAAGACGGTCTGCTATTCCACACATGAATGTAATTTTTCAACCTGATCATCATCCAGTTACAATTGTGAAATCCCTTTACAGTTCCATTAAATGTCCGTTTTTGTTTGAATTGAGCACAAATGACAAGTTGAAAATTGACCCTGAGTCAAATATGGATCGACCAGGTTTGAACTGAACTGTAGCGTTCTTTGTTCAATAAGTATGCTCGCTGTGAAAAAGCCCAGTTTTGTATTATTGTGCAACATTTTCACTCGTAATGTGATTTCATGATAAAGTGCTGGTGTCTATCGTTCTTTTAAGAATGGTTACGAGTATATTTCGAAATATCGACACTCATTCACTTCATCTTTGAAACTTTGAACATGCACACACCCCTACCTCCAACTGTTCTGGTTTGCTCATTATCACCCTGTGCATATTAGCAGTTGTACATACTACAGACATCGCAAAGGCATCAGAAACATTGCCATCACTGTAACAACTTTTACTGCGCATGCTCTCTTGTTTATTTTGAAATGGAGAAAAAAAAAAGCTGCGTGATTTTTGTTGATGCACAACCCATCTCCACACTGTGTTTCTTTGCTAAGAGCGGGTTTTGTTCTTTTCTTCCTTTCTCGCATTGCTGAGGTTAATGTCACCAATCGAAGCTGAAGGTGGCAACGTCATTTTTGCGCTGCCCAGATTTGGTGTGTGGGAGCACCTGTTATCGGTTCGCGTCTTTGGTCTTGGGGCTTGAACTGCCTGCCTGGAATCCAGTAGAATATTGTTCCGGTTTTGGGGGAGTGTTTTTGTTCAGTGGCACGTATCATGAAGCCATTTCGTCGCAAGATGTTTCTGTCGAGGCTCGATTGCGAGCTTGCCTCGTAAATTTAGTAACCTTCCCAGCTTCTTGTTTTTGTGTTCTTGATTCTTTTGTTGCAAAAAGATGTTAACTTGTTCGTAAGCAATTAGAAAGAATAAAGAAAAGGCAAGTAGACTCGTTCTAGCCAAGTTATAAATTGCGCACAAGGCGATTCCATAATCCGATAAACTGACACAATCACCGATGACTCTGCCGAATTGGTTTCGTCTCGAACGCAGTAACATAATTTGCGTGCCCTTTCCTCTGTACATACGCGACGCGCGGTTCAAAGCCACAAAGCGCATTGCCTCTCCAAGAGTGCCGCATACTTATTGTTGTTCCTCTCCCACAAACCTACGCGGTATTTTGTGTTCTTGTGAAACCTTGCAAAAGCTAGTTCCGTAAACTTTATCGAAGGCAATAATGGCGGCAGCCAAGAATCAGTCTTTGTCGACTAATCTCGAATGTACTTATTCACCCGTACAGAGTGTGTTGTTGCAATGTGCGACGACTCCGTCGAACCGTGCAAATCACCTTCGGCACGCTGCTCCTTGTAATTTTGCACGAACGTGTTACCGTGTGGTCAACACATGTCCCGCAATGTTCGGTGTGAAAGCTAGCATCGGTCAAATGTTTCGGATGGACACATTTATTTCACCATGCAAGGACTCGTTAAGCCTGTTTCCTGACACACCCGGACAAACGGTGCAGCGAGTCACCATTTATATGCATCATCTTTAAAATGTTAGATCAGTGATGAATCAGAACAATTGGCATCCTTGCATTCCAACTAAAATTACGCACATTTTTCTCAAATTGTTTTTTTTCATAAATGTTCGATCAGAGATGGTTTAAACTGGTTGGCATTCTTACCTTCCAGTATTTCTACTAATATTGGATATATTTCTCCAAAATCGTTTTTTTTATGATATTTAATATGACTAGTAGAATGATTGGCACACTAACCATGCCATATTTTTCCTAAAATTGCGCAAAAGATTTTCAGGATTACTTTATTGAGAAATGTTCTACCAGAGACTGTTTACAGCAGTTGGTTATTTTTATTTTTACTAGAACGATGCTAGGTATTGCTAGGTATTCGAAAATATTTTTATCGTCAAGAAACAGGCTTAGCAAACTTTGTAATGAACTTGCAACTTTCAGTGGGCTGTGCGATTGTATCTTACAACTTTTGGCGGGCGTTGGTTGGCACGCTGAACTTTCAAAAACACGTCTTTGTTGCACGGTTGCATCTTCGTAAATACCTTTGACCCACCGGAAACCGCTCGGTACGACCCAGTCGATTGACAGGCGGTAAAATGATTGGACCCCGATTGGGCTTTGGCAGGTTTTATAAATAAACTCTGGTTTCACAGGCTGGTGTGGCTTCTTTCCGGGATTTCCGCGAGGGCCTCCAAGAGCTTGTAGTAGCAGTACTTGAGGTCAAACTCCATGTCGTACCAGAAGTTGAGGGCGATGCAGCCGTGACTCTGCCTCACGTGGTGGAACCAGAGGGACGGCAGGTACAGGAGGTCCCCCGCCCGGAGCGACAACTCGACGGGAGACGCCCTGCCGTATCTTGGGTACTCCACCAAGTCCGGGCTTTCTGGGTCCAGGGGTATCCAGGGCACCGACGAGTCCCCGTCTTTGAGGAAAAAGAAGCGAAAATATTACCCTAGCTTGATTGGGCAACACAGAATGGTGGTGAATGGGCTGGGCACGTGCAATGTGTCGGTGACAATTCTCTCTTGAGGTCGGATGACTGACTACACGAGGTCAGTCATATGACCCGATTACATCGTATTGGGGACGAAAAATGAATCGACAAGCGTAAAACAAACTAAAGGTTTAAACTTGTGCCAGAAACGAGAAAGAATGAGTCGAGAAACTGGGTCATGCACGCAGTGATACTATGATGTAGCATAACGCTGTTGTGTCATATGGCCTACTTCACAGTGTCGTATGACGTCGCATGATGACAGTCCTTCAGTACAGTGCTCGTAGAATTTGGCTGAAAACATTGCGTTAAAAATTGGCAGCTGTATTCTCATCTCGATCAAACCATTGCTTGCGGAATCGCAATGTCTGCGCTGCTGCGACATCGCTGCATTGGGTCGTGGTGTCGCGTGACACGGTGCCACGCCATGGTGCCAAGTGACGTCGTGATGTGGTCGTGCAACGACATGATGTCAAATTGTGTCGTGTCTCGCGGCAGTGTCGCACGATGCCGTGATTCCATGCGACATTGTTGCATGGCATGATTGTCACAACTTCAAACCCAACATTACTAAATCAAAGAATGCTGACACCAAGATGTCGCAATTTGATGCCGAGATGTCGGATCATGTGATACGCCATAGCCAAACATGAAATCTGTGTTAGCTTCCACAAACTTAAAATTCTGCATTAAAAAAATAATTTTTAATGAAACTGCAGAGGGCTGCCATATTGTAGCCATCGATGTGAGTGACGCAGTTCTCGCACAGCTTGAAAGTTCCAATACTCTGACAAAATTCATAAACTCGGGGCCCGGCAATTGTGAGAAAAACATTGCCCTAATGCAAGAAGACGGAAGAAGAGGAAGAGCTTGCGACTCCCCGTTTTCTTGTTCCAAGCAAGTCCTGTAAACGTTGCTAGGTCAACGGGGCGCCCTCCCAGCTAAGTGGCCCTCCCCGCTCGGCTGGAAGCAGCCGGGAGTTCACGCGCATGCGCTCGCGCCCCTCGCTCTGTGCCGCGGGCCGATTGGCTCACTCGACGTTACGGCGGCGAGATCTGGCCAAACTTTTCCCATATACGGTTCTAGCGGGGTGTGTTTGGCGCTCGGATTGATAGATGGTGCTACCTTCTTATCGAGACTGCTCGCGACCACCACGATTTATTAAAATGAACACAATATTGTAGTAATGTACCTTTAATTTAAAAATAAATGCAAACAAAAAAATACAAACTTAAGTTAAAAAAAAAGCGCCGTCGTTATATTTGCATAACGACGGCGCATTTGCTGCAAACAGACTTCATCTGCGTGTCGTCTGCTCTCTTTCGCTGGTTGGCTACACCTTCGGGTGCTGCTCCCGATGCCATCTATCAATAAGAACGCCAAACGCACCCTGCAAATCGACTCGGTCGTCTAGGTCGCCTCCCACCGTTGACACTGGCAAGTTTCTTGGTTCTATTTTTTACAGAAAGGGAGCTACGCTTTGTAATCTTACAAGAAAAAATCGACCTGTGGAATACACCTTTGACGAAAAGTTTAGATAGCTATGTGCGGTCGTCAGTTTTTATGGGCCACTTTAGATCGAGCCTGGTGATTTGGGACACCCTATACTTTCACCTTCTATTCCCTGCAGTGCAGGGTGGCGCTGCTATCCACTTATGGACGGCTCTCCGCCCTGCAATGACACACCGCAGTTCTGCGTGGTGAATCACTTAGCCACATTCGCAAGTGCAGTCGTCACACATCCCCCTTCTAGCCCTCCATAACGTCGTATGGCACCACACCAACGCCATTGCTCCGTGCCATGCTCCCGTGCCCATACCTTCTGCAGCGTACATTTGGCACCGCAGAATTTGTACTTTTTGCTGAGCCTTGCCGAGGAGAACGGATTCAATGATGCCAAACGTATGCTGCAAAAGGTATGGGTGCAGGAGCATGGTAAGGAGCAATGGCAGCTGATGCGACGTTAATGCAAGCTATGAGGCTACGATTTGCTTCTTTGGACCCATCGCAACTAGATTTACAAACACTCCGGAATGACTAGGAAGTCATTCCGGAGTGTTTGTCATTTCAAAGTGCAGATTTTAAGTTTGGACTCAGGAAAGCCACTGTATCAGGATTGTGTTTAGTGTTCCCTTAAATATAGGGGGGGGGGGGGGGAGTTGGGTTTTATGCATATGCACTATACCGACTACATCCCTCCACCTAAAAATATCCCTGGCTATGCCACTTCTCCGGTACCCTGTTAGTTAGACAATGTCTGCATGATGACAGGAACGGTCAAAGGAGTTAAAATTAGCAAAGTTGGAAAAGCAACTTCCACAAAGTACTGCGAGTAAGGGCAAAATAAATGAAATGAAAAGGCCAAACACTTCCGTGGCTTGCGATACTTGTCGAGTACTAAATACTAGAAGCTGAATCCAGCCAATTCGCTGGAGCCTGTACAAAGCCAGTTCACAGAATAAAGAGTTTATCCGGTGCAACCTTTAGTTTCGAACAGCTTCTGCATTTCTCTAAAAAGCTGTTTGGTAGTAAGAACCTGGTAGCTCGATAGCACTTGGCCGAAACAACTGGCTCTCGAACATGTCTAGCATCTGCAAATGTATGCCACAGAACTTAGTCTAAAAGGGACCTCGACCCTGTTATTCTAATCGGATGACCATGCGAGTAGGTATTCACAAAAAGACAGTCAACATTCGTAGCTGGCAGATGGCCAAACTCCAAGCCGTCTTGAACCCATTAAACTGCCCAGAGCACGAGATGCGAAAGGCTTTAAAGGGATGCTGAACCGAAATCTGGATTTCACAAAACACGCGGCCAAAAGCGTGGGGCTAAGCGTGGGATGCAACAAACACCAAGACATCACTCGTACAGCAATATCTCGAACGGATAACCATATTTTTCAAGAAAAGGAGGCGCATTTGGCAGGAGTGTTGACATCATGTTTCTCCGAGAAGGAGAGGGAACAAACAGCCTTGCATCTTCTCCACCTCGCCGCCTTGAGGGAGCGAAGCGAAGGGAGGAGGAAACTAGGTATCTTCACGGTCATGCACCTCGTTGGCCTGGTTCAATCTCGACATCGTTTTCCAAAAATACGGCTGTCCATTCAAGATATCGCCTTACCAGTAGTGTTGTAGGAATTGTAGCGTCCAGCCTAAATCTCCTGAATTGTTTTTTCTAAAATCCAAATTTCGGTTCACCATCCCTTTAAGGAGCTGTGCAACAATTTCAGTGCTTTGCTTAAGTAATTTGGGAGTTGGTGTCTCAACATTTCTGAAGAACAAAAAACTGCTCTTGCCTACATGTCCTAGTCTTTGGATAAAGGTTGAAGTTTTCGGCACCTCTGAACTCCTTCACCATCTTCCGAGTCACGTGCACTGTGACATCAAACGGGGATGTGCGGGGTTCTGGTGAAGCTCTCTCTCTCTGGAGCCATCAGTAAGCAGCGAGAATTCACCCGCTCGTGACCACGTGCTTGCGCAGCGCAATCAACACGGCAAAAGGAGGAAAGTCTCGTCCGGGTCCGGCCATCCCCGTGCGGCTCTGCCCCCCTCCCCCTCCGGCTAGTGGCTGTTAGCAGTAGCAGATAGAGCTGACGGTTTTGTTGACCTCGGATAGATGGCGCCAATAAAACTCCATATAAAAAAGTTTTGTCAATGATACCAGGTTTTTTGCAAATTTATATTTATGTTGGAACGACAAGATTTGGTAGAAAAATCCCCTTTTATCGAACAGGTATTTGCACAATTTGCTATCTTTTCACAAGTCCCCCTTTGACGTCACGCTGTGTGGTTCTCATGGCCACTGCTCGCGGCTGCCGGTCAGGAAATATTATAATTTTTGCCTCGCGATGACGCGGCGGAATCGCAACATTTCGAAGGAATGTTGTGATTAATGTCCGAACGCCAACAACATAAAACAAGCTAAAACCAAAATCTTCATGCACGACTAACCGGCTATGCTGTGCAATAACCCCAAGAAATTCTGGCGACTAATGTCCCCAAACGAGTCCTCGGGCAGCGTCATTCTTTTGGATGAAAACGGCGATGCAGTGCCTGACGAACTCGCTGCTACTTATCTTAACGACTATTTTGCATCCGTCTTTACGAGTGAGGTCCTGTCAGACATCCCAGTGGTCGGTGAAGCCAGCTACTCCTTATGGATCCAATCGAAATCTCGCCAAATGGCATTTCAAATCTGATCAAAACCGCTAAGGTGTCAACATCAGCCGGTCACAACGATATTAACATGAAGATTCTAAAAAACACTATGTTGACCTGCAGACAGATACTTAGCTTAATATTTCACCAATCATTATCCACAGGTCATATTCCGGACGACTGGAGGATTAGAAAGATAATTCCAGTACACAAAGATGGTGATCGTAAATCTGTCTCAAACTACAGGCCCATTTCTCTTACTAGTATCGTATGCAAGCTTCTAGAACATGTAATATATTCTGGCGTCATGTCACATTTGTTGGTCAACAACTTTTTCGAACACCAACATGGTTTCCGCAGGGGACACTCCTGTGATATGCAACTACTTGAATTCACCTGCGACATTCATTCCCATATGGACAACCGTACCCAAACTGATGCTGTCTTCTTGGACTTTGCGAAGGCTTTTGATCGGGTCCCGCACGGTCGACTTTTGACAAGACTTTCGTCCTTAAATCTTAATTCTCAGGTCCTCTCCTGAATTCGCGGGTTTTTATTCCATCGGCAGCAGTATACCGTTAAAGGGGCGATGCAACGATTTTTGTATTTTACTCAAATACCACTTCGAACGGATCCCCGACGTTAATGACCTGTGAAATACCCGTTCGTTTTTCACCACACGCAATCGAAGTCGCGGAAAAAAATAAAGGAAAACGAGCAGAGTTCACTTCCTCAACTCACAGCCAGAACAAGCGGCCACGTGATCTGGAGCCGATTATATGCCGCCAATGTTGATCATAGCCATGCGCTGGGGTTGGCAAGGCACTGGACACGCGCTGAGTTCCAGACATTGTTATAGTTCGGCTGTTGTCGTCATTGCAGCGATTGGACACAATACACTACCCGAATGCTTCTTGAGCTATCGATTATCACGAGCCCAAATCGAGTTTCCACGCCATGCTCGGGTCCAATCTATGAGCCACATTCAAATATCTGGGCGGTGCTGCTACCGCCCAGCTACGTCATCAGGTTTTGCGAAGGAGAGATTGAATGAAAACACTCGGTTTTGCCCTCGAAATTACAGTGCAACAAAGGAGTTTCTTGGTCAGTGGCGTTGCGTGTGAGTATCCTTGAGTCCCACTAGTGCCAGTGTGTAAAGTGAAAAACATTCCAATTGAATATCGTTGCACCGCCCCCTGAACGGTAATTCTAGTTCATCTGTGATTGATGTGGGGTCGGGTGTTCCACAGGGCAGCGTACTCGGACCACTTCTCTTCTTGATATATATCAATGATCTTCCAAACCGTGTCAGATCACAGATTCGTTATTTGCAGATGACTGCGTAATATACAGACAAATCAAGTCAAATGACGACCACCTTGTTCTGCAACAGGCCTGCATAGTATTGACGACTGGTGTAGAGAGTGGCTCATGCTCCTCAACGTCTCCAAATGTAAAACAGTCACCTTCACTCGTAAAAGGATTGTATCCTCATTTCCATACTCACTGAACAATGAACTCTTGACACAATCACCCCACTACAAATACCTCGGAGTTTGTCTTGTTGCGGACCTTTCCTGGTCCACTCATATCAGCGCAATTACGGCGAATACATCAAGTACGTTAGGCTTCATAAAACGAAATTTAAAACTTGCACCTCCCAATATTCCGAAGCTGGCATACGAGACTTACGTCAGACCTAAATTAGAATATGCGTCGTCAGTGTGGAGCCCCTATCAGAGCTACTTGACCGACCAAATAGAAAAGGTACAGAATCGAACGGCCAGGTTTATTAAGTCATCTTATTCGTGCTACGATGGTGCATCCTTAATTAAAAACAATATTGGTCTGCCTCCATTAGCTTCTCGTCGTGAGATCTCCCTCTTGTGCTTTTTTCACAAACTATTCTACAGCCAGGGAGTACAGGAGCTCCCTTTTATACAACCACCTCACAGGGCGTCCTCTTGCACTAAGAACAGCCAGTCCGTTCGCCGAATATCGGGGTCCACACTTTCCTTCAACAATTCAGCCATACCTAGAGCCATTAGAGCCTGGAATTCCTTGCCCGAGGACATTGTCGCCATTGCTGATCCTGGGGTGTTCGTGGATCGTTTGTCAAATCTTGTGGAATAAAGTTTTGCTTTTGCCGCAGCCAGGCAGCGATCCTGGAAATTTTGGAGAGAGTCTGCATTCTGGCATCCTCGATTGTTGTCCCGTATCAACATAGGTTTTGTAAATATTCGGGCATGTCTATTTGTCGTTCTTGTGCCATACTTAATTCAAGCTTTTCACTGACGTGACCCTGTCACTTTTTGTGTTCTGGTGTTTTCTGTGATTTCTCTTATTAACTGAAGTGACCCTGTTGTCCATGAAATGATTCTTCCATCCATCCATCCATCACAGCATTGTCTTCTATGTATCCTTTGTGTTTTTACTTGAACAGTCCCCCCTTATGTAATGCCCAGCAATGGGCCTCTAAGGTACCTGAATAAATAAAAGGAGATGTGTTTCTGTCCTGTGTGACAAGATAAACAATGTCAAAAGTAGAAGATGCAAATTCTTTCAACGTTAAAATCGTTGCACAGCTCCTTTAATAGACCAATCTCGCCAAGCAAGGCGCATGCTTGAAGCTGCCATAACTTTAGTTCACGGGAGGCAGGTGGCAGGGCCCGACGGCTCGTGCCATCTCCTGCTCTGCATGTGCGTGCAAAGCTTCAGCAAGGTCGCCGAATGTGCTGAAAAACTAAAGTTCGCTCAATGTACTGCGACAGCTCCAGTGAAGCCAAACTGGCTGGTTAGATCAGCCTATTGTTTAAAGGGAATTGGCTTGGAAAGGGGGGGTGGGGAGGAACCGTGCGCTTTGGTTCTTAGGATAGGTGGTGCAAGCTACAGCTTGTTATAAGGTGTACGCCATTAACATCAATCCACCCATCCTGGTGAAGGGCTTAAACTCTGGGTGGTCCTTTTCCCTACGGGGTCTCGCGAGATTTTGCTTGTGGTCTTAACTGCTTCGTGAGGCAAGGTCCACAGGATGCCCAGAAGATATTGGGACATCAACAAGTCGACACATTCTTTTAGTCTTGTCTTTGCAAATGGGTCAAGTACAGACAGTTCGAAATGGTGGTACTTTTGTTTCAACAGAGGGAGGGTGTTTCTGTGTTGAACAGTGCTGCACGAGCATTCCACTGAAACACGTGTCTTCATTGACTGAATCCCGGTCGAACACTGGTGCAGCACTCAATCCGTAAGCCACTCTGGCATCCAGTGGGCAATGTACAAAATCTAGCACCACAGCCTTGCCACCTAGGAGCCGAGCGAGCGCACTCCCATAAAGCGAGGTGGAAAAGAACAAACGCCTATAATTCGGAAGAAACTGGGAGACGCGCAAAAGCAGGGTCAAAGCTGGGATGTGCGACCGCAAGAGACGCGAACCCCACGTTCCACTCTCGCAGGGGCGCTAGCTTTGGCAGGGCTTTCTTTGCGAGACGCTACGTACAACTATGCTGGGGCCTTCGAGGCACAAGATGCGTACCGCGCTCATCCGTGCAACATCACCGCGAAGCAACACACGGCGTTTCCGCTTCCTGCGCCACGATAGTGTTTAATATGAAAAAATCGAACGCTGCTACCTGTCGGGACAACCTCGAACATCCCAGTGTCCCGATTTTCCCGGTAGGTCGCTGTCCGGAAATTTCGGTACGGAATCCAGGGCAGGTCGGTCGGCGGCAGCAGAATGAAGTCCTTCCGTCCCTTCACGACGCAGTAGATATTCTCGTAGTGGTCGCGGTGCATCGAAGTGACCGCCCGCGCGTCGCCCACCCAAAAGTTGACGGCGTCGGGCGCCTTTCCAAAGGCAGTCGTCGCCCAAGCTATGTCCACGTCCACGTCGTCCGCTAGCGGCTCGAACTCGTCGGTGAAGTTGGAGTTCTGTTTCTGAACGTAGAAGACGCCCTTGAAGTCGCTCTGGTGTTCGATGATGTCGAGAAACTTGGCGAACGACAGGCGACGTTCCTCGGGCATGACGAACAGGCCGTCGTGAACGGCGTCGGCGTAGCCGTTCGGTGTAACCGCGACGGTAACCGTTCGTGCTCCGATTTTGTCGCGTAGGTACTGGTGCGTCCACTTGTGAACGGCGGGCCAGTGGGAGATTCCCCCACGTACTATGAGCGGCACGTTGGGGCATACCCACCGCCTGTGAAACTCCAGGGGAGAAGGCACTTGCTGCACCTCGCATATCGTCGATGGGAAGTACAGGTCCTTGCAGTTTTCTGAGAAAGTTTGTAACGCACTTTCGATCATTCTCGGTGTCACCGCGACGCTCGGCCACAAATGTAAATAATGCTTGCCGACGGCAAATGATCCATTCAATCCATTCAACCCGCCATCGTTTTACGACATCTACAGTGAGATTGGATTGGATTCCGACGACTGATATCAATGTTTAAAAAAAAACTAATTGCAACTGCACAATCTAGTTTTGTCAATAAATGAAAATAAAAAAAGTTACAAATTAAATGATTGTGCTGTTTTTGTTGTTTTAATTTAGGCGTTGTCATTAGGGGTTGAAGTGCTATCTATGATCAAATTAAGTCAAAATTCGGCGGTGAATTGTGTCGCCTCTAGCCAATTTTTGCTCTAGCGCGCAATTTAGCGCTTAATATCAAAAATAAACTTTCAATTTCAGATGGCTAGAATGACAGGAAGTTATATTTTTCTCACTTTTTTAGTTAAAACTTGGTGCTGTCTTTCGAACTTTTGAGCATAGCTTTTGAGAGCTCTTTTGAAAAAGCGCCGGAGGCGCCCCAAGCGTTCAGCGTGTGAACCGAGTCAGGACGCGAGCAACGCGAGTGGACAGAGTCAGAGTGCCGAGTCATTTTGACTGCACGAAGGTAACTACGCTTTCATTTGTCATACTTTCTGCTGTAGCATATAAAATTTCATATAAAATTTAACGCGTAATGGCAAGGCGAGACCCTTTCATCGGGGGTTAAACGCCGTATGTACGTGTTCTTTGACGCTTCGCGGGAGACTTGCCACACATGCTTGTCATCGTGTTGGCTATGTCACAGTGATAAGCATTTTTCTTTGCAGATCTTCACATCATGGACCGCTTGCTGAGATTAGGAGGCGGTTTGACGGGCCTTGGACAGGTGAGCTCGCGAGGAACGAGCAGAATATCTTTCCGAGACCGCTAGCATTGAAGGCGGCGTCAAAAGAGACCGACTGCCACTCGTATTATCAGACGAGGCCAGCCCTACCAAAGAACTCATATTTAAAAAGAAAAGAAAACGCTTACAGGCAAACGAGATGTTGTGCTAATACTGCAGATTGGGCGAGTTGGTAAGGCATCATTACGAACCAGCGCAGATAGACAGTTACTCAAAATCCAAACACAGAAATACTCACAGAGCGCTGAACTATCAACTGATTTGCATTTCAAAGTTCCTCTTCTTTGACCCCAGGGAATACGTTGCCAAGGAAGAAAAGGGGAAAGACAAGGCAAAGGGAGGAAGGCGAAAGAAAAACAGATGAATAGAAAAATAAAAATAAAACAAAAAAAAAAAAGGAGAATAATACTAATACAGTTGAGTCCAAGAGTTACAAAAATTACAAAATTAATCACGAACATCTATAACCCAGGTGATATGCCGGTCTACTGTCAACTACACTCTTGGCGTAAATAGTTTGTCTGATGCAAAAATTTCAAGAGTTATAAAAATTACATCAGAAGTAAACAAAGAAAAAAAAAAAAAAAGAGACCAGTGGTTATACTGGCTTGCTGTTGAAAACTTCTGTCTAGATAATGCAGTTCTTTCTCCGATAAAGCTAAGGACGGAGTGCTAACGCACTGGGCTTCCCGCCTTGCAATGTTCTCCGCTTCTATAATTTCTCGGGTGAGTTGGTTTTTACTCCTGCCTAGCACAGCACAGTTGTCCAGTCGTGCAAAACAGCCACAATTCCTGCAGTGAATACCTAGGTGACCGGATTTGGCATTGGCAATGTTGTGCTCGCGCAGGCGGTTGTTTAAACACCGCCCAGTCTATCCAATGTACTCTTCCACAGGAAAGGGGAAATGAATAGACCACCCCTTTAGCACATGGGACAAAGTTGGATCTGTGTTTCTTTGCGCAGCTAGCGGTGCTGATTGAGGTGGTGTTTACTTTTTTGCAGAGGATGTGAAGTTTGTGTGCTGCTGAAAATATGACATTCACATTTGCTCTGTTTGCTATTTTCTTTAGAGGTTGTGCGCTAGAGTAACAGAAAACAAACATCCCCAAAGCCAGAATTTTTTTTTTTTTTTTTCTTGAAAAAATTTAGGAGGACAAAGTTTTGGAAGGTATTTTCTAAAGTCAGCGCTGTTTTCCTATCTTGTTCGACGGTCGGTTTTCGAACTTATTCGTCCCATCTAAACAGTAAGCGATTAAAGTAACTGCTACTGATATCCTAACAAATTTGATAGTAGAGCAAGCATTCTACAAATCAGACATAAACTTCGGTGGCATATCACTAAAGGAGTGCATGTCATGACATGTCATGACATGCACCGTGCATGTTATTCATTAGTTGGGCCCGCTTCAGACGGGGCAATTTCTCCTAGCAACTTCACTTCGCAACACCAGCAACGGTGTTCACATGCAGCAACCAAATGACTACGATATGCCATCATCATAATTAGATTTGATATTTTTGTGCACCTTTTAGAAACAGTTACGCGCTATAAGTGTGTTTATATATCATTAAATGGTGTTGAGAAAATTACTCATCTTTCTGAAATCGTTTATTTTCAAAAACAATCTATTTCAAACCAGAACCAACTCTTTAGTTGTCATCATTACCGCCACAGGGGGGTGTCAATTGAAAATATAATGTCCCTAATTGGCTGCTGCCGCTTCAAACGTCTCTGAGTTGTCCGAGTTGCTCATCCGTTTTGAGCCGGACCCGATCTCAGCAATTCGCGTCGATTTAGAAAAAGCTAGGGAACAGCCTACCAGCAACCCGAAATTGCTGGGAAAGTTGCCCCGTCTGAACTGGGCCTAATGCCTAAATCCCACTGGAGCGACCAACAGAACCTAACGACTGCGACAAGCCTCAAACACATACAGCATGCTCACAATGGTACCTTTGGCAGGCGTTTAGCCTTTCTGTGCCCGTGAAGTAGGCATGAGTGATTGCAAGCCTGCCAAAGATACCCTTGCGTGCATGATTCCCGTGTTTGAGCATAGCCTCCTTTATTCTACAAAGCCTGTCGAATCGCGAAGGACTCTGGTTTGAGGCTTGTCGCTGTCGTTTGTTTTTCTTTGTTGCTCTAGTGGGACTTGGGCATAATAGATTAGGTTGTCGTAGCTTTCTTTCGGACTGTGAAGCCTATAAATTGTGCAGTGCCATTTGAATCTGACTAGTATTCGCACAGCTCTATATATCAGAGTACCGGTAAAGTGACTACTGAACGAGACAGTGGGCTCATTCACTTTGCCTCAGCAGTTTCACTAGCCCACACTGGTGCAGAAAAATGTAGCTTAGTGTAACTCTGGCATCTAAATTGAATGAGGCAGTGTACAGTAATGATAAAAAAAAAATATGAACGGAGCAGCAATTGTACAATACCTGAGTGCCTCTTAGCAGTGGATGCAGTCAGTGTAGTTCTAACAACTACGTTGGAGTGTGCGCCTAACTTCAGAAAGAAGCTGGAGGGCGCAGCAATTGTTGTCGGTCTGATCAACCACCGCCTTCATACGTTTTTTCACATATTCAGATCCCAGCACTCTGCTTTATAGAGCGGTCCATAACCGAGTGGAACAATGCCATCACAATCTCCTAACACTGTATCTGCCATTCAAAACTTTTCAGAGCCACAAGCCTGTAATGTGCCTGTGCCATATTTTGCAGAGTGTCCTGGTGCATAGCCTGCAGGAGCAAATCTTGATTAAAAGAACCCTGAAAAAAAAAAAAAAAAGCTTTTTTTTTAAACAGTCTAAATGGGACACATGTGTCAAAAAATAAAGTTTATGCAAAAATAAATTCTTTTAGAGCAATATTGACAGCGAGAGATTTATTTGAAATTCGGTGCGCAAAGTCCATAACGTCACGGGTCATTCGGAATGACCACGCGCCCGAAATGCCGATAGAGAAAACAAGTGAGATGACTGCCAACTAAATTGCGTCTCACGCCGTCAATACTGCTTACAAAAAAAATGTTTTCCCATAAAATTTATTTTTTGACACGCGAGTCCCAACCAGACTGTTTAGAAGAAAAAGACTTTTTTTTTTTTTTCAGGGGCCCTTTAAAAAAATGTTTTCCCATGTGATCCGTACCCTGTGTATAGTCTCCATCTAAAAAAAATTATCATACGCAGCACACCTTCACAATTGCCTGCCTTATTAGCTTACGAAGAAGCTTGTATCATTCATAACCCATCAGTTATATATTGTCTTTCACAAAATTTGTCTGGTCTCGTCATAAGAACCGGTCTAGCGAAATATTTTTTTTTAAATCCTTGTATAGTTTGCACTTGCAGATAGTCTCTATTGGGTGAAATTTAAACTTTTAAATGTGTATAGTTCGTAAACTTTAGTTTGAAAAATACGGTAAATATGTGTCACGCAACATGGATGGACAAGTGACTATTGTGGCAGCCTTTGACAAAAGACAATAAAAAAAGGTGTCTCCAAAAGCTGGAGACAGCAGGCCACGCTGCTTCTGCCTGCCAGCATTTAGGGGGCGAAGGGGGCGTAGAAATGTCGTGTGCAAGGTGGTGCAAGCTGCCACCCGATACAAAGGATGGCACCGCTGCCATTCATCCGTCCGTATTCTGAGGGGAATTGTGACCCTGCAGGCTCCTCCAGCAAGCGACGGACCGGTCGTCGACACGGCGGAGCAGGTCTACATTTCGTCGCTCGCACTTCTCAAGGTAAGGCCGTTGCTGCAGGGTTAGGAAGGTTCGCAAATGTCTAGCATAAACTCTCTCTCCAGCGGTGCAATTTTGGTTACCGTGAGAGCAAGATCTAACTTGCTTCTCGCAGAGCGAATGAAAGATGGCGTTCATAGACGGTTCGTCTGCTAATGCAAAACGAGAATATGGTTCGTCCGCTACTTAGCGTCATTTGCGGATGGAAATAAAACGAGAAAATTCCGTACGTCGTCTGCTAGCTGACTAGAAAAAAAATGTTGATTGTGCGCTACTAATGGAGTGCCGTGGAACGAAATTGGGATGTCCGCTATTTTACGTTGGAAGCCATTGACGACCAGCGCTACCTACGTTCAGTGGCGTACCAACTTGTTTTTGAGTGGGGGGGCAAACCCGACCCTCTTCCCCCCCCCCCCCCCCCTTAATCGAAAATTCGGCGCAACTTTTGTCGAAGTTTTCTAAAGATGTGGCAATGATTCGGTAAAATTACAACGTTACCAGACTTAACATTGATATTTTGTTTTTTCTCACGAAAAAAATTTTGCTTCTTCTTAAAATAAATACAACTTGTAGTGCCTATTGAAACAGTTATGATTAAATAAGGTGATATTCTACAAGATAATTGTATCGATGTCGCTTTTGTGTGTTTACTGGCAATTTTAGTGTTTGCTTGCAGAAAGTGGCGTGACAACGAGGTTGGGTAGTAGCCGGAGCAGTCACGAATCACACTACGAGAGTTTTGATTTTGAGGCTTCATCAGCGCACGCCTGCAAGTGTGTTTACATTGTTAAAATAAAGACAATCACTGCGTTCTTACTTTCTCTGGGAGGCACCGTTTCGTGCGCGAAAACGGATGCAACGGTTGTTTAGCCTTCACCAGAAGAGATAACAATACTGTAAATATGCATGTTTTTCGATTTGAGTCACTTGACGTCAGCTTTGCATGAAAGTGCGCGTTCCATATTCGCAACGTGTCGTTTTTAACCTTTAAAATTCCGGTTTCTGGTGTTAGGACACACACGGACGTTTAGGAAGAGGGGGAGAGTTAGGAATGTAGGATGTGCAACGTCGAGCATGATAGTTCTGTGTTTAACGAATACTTTTCATCAGTGTTTACTAACGAGTGCTTGGACTTCGTCCCCACTCTCCCTGAAGAGCTTTACGAGCGCATGCATCCTATTAACGTTAACTCCGCTGGTATTAAAACATTGATTGATAAACTAAAACTTACTTCGTCCGCTGGAACCGATAACATCAACCCTAAAATTTAAAAGAAACACCCGTGTTATTTCTAGTGAGTATTTGAAACACATCTTCATTCAGTCCTCATCTCAAAGCTGCCTTCCATCTGACCAAAAGGTGGGAAGGGTAATTCCCAGTCTTTAAACAGGGCAGCCGCTCTTCCGCATCTAATTATCGCCCTAATTCATTGACTTCAATTTCTTGCAAACTACTTGAGCATATCCTCTACTCCAATATCATGAGGCACCTATCATCCCATTTCTTTTCTTTAAACAGCAGCACGGTTTTCAAAAGGTACTTTCCTGCGAAACGCAACTCTGCGACTTCATCCATGACTTGCACACTAACCTTGAATGTCACGTCCAAACTGACGCAGTTTTTTTTTTTTTTTCCAAAGCGTTCGGCCGTGTCCTCCATCAACGCCTTCTTTCTAAGCTATCATCTTTTTGCCTCGACCAATAACCGTTTGCATGGATTCGTGACTTTCTTTTTTCCCGTGTACAGGTCACGTCCATGATGATCATGAATCTTCCTTAATAAATGTATCTCCTGGTGTTCCCCTGGGGTTCGTACTTGGGCCCTTACTCTTTTTAATATTTATTAATGACATTCCCATTGGGATTTCTTCAAAAAAACGCTTTTTCGCCGACGACTGCGTCATCCATAACAAAGTAACTTGTGTGCAAAATAATAACCAGCTTCAGGAAGATCTAGATAAAATTAACAATTGGTGCAAAGAGTGGATTATGTCACCAAACAAGTATAAACGCAACCTAATCCACTTCACCAAGAAAAAAAACACTCTGTCATTTAATTACTTCTTGGACTCCGATCTGATTGAGACCGCTACTGTGTATAAATACCTTGGTGTAAGACTAACATCTGACCTTCCCTGGAATAACCACATTGAAGTCATTACCGCCGATTCATCTGGAACTCTTGGACTAAGCAGACGTAACTTAAAAAATCGCTCCACCCTTTGTCCTTAAGCTAACCTTTAACACGTACGTCAGACCAAAAATAGAATATGCTTCAACCATCTGGAATACCCATCGACTGTACCTGATCAATACGCTGTAGAGGCAGTTCAGAACAGAGCTGCTCGCTTCATTTCATCCACTTATGACTTTTCTTTCAGTGTCTCGGCGCTAAAAACTGAACTAACCATGTCCTCTTTGCAGCTTCGCAGGAAAGTCTCTCAGCTGTGCCTTATTCACAAAATCTACTACCACATTCCCGACCTCAAAACCACTTTGTTATTACCCCTCGACCGAACATCTTCTCGCCTCAACAACGTCTGCACCATCAAACACACTTCTGGCTCTACGAACGCTTTCAATTGGTCATTCCTTTCTCAAGCCATCAGCCACTGGAACAGTCCCCCATCCTCCATTGTCACCATCTTGGACCCTGCTGATTTCTCCTCTGCAGTAAAACTACACCTTTCTTGGCCCATGTGATGGTGTGCGGGGCTAGGCAGATCAGTGAAAACACTTACGCAGAGCGCTTGCCAGGCCAGACTTGTACGTAGTTCAACTACTTTACTCAAGTTACTGTAGTTTAACTACTTTTCTGGGTAGTTTAGTAACTTTTAATTACATTTCTATTCTAGTAATCAGTAGTTTACTGTAACTACTTTTCCGAGTGACTTCCACTCAAATTACAAATTACTTTCTAATTTTAGTGGTTGTTTTGCCTATCAACAGAGAACAGAGGTCGGAAGGTCAGCTGATATTTGCAGAGGGGGAAGCATGCGTAGTAGAAAAGGGGGGGATGGGAAGGAAGAAAGTGATTTAGATAGTCCAAAAAACCCCAAAATTTTAACGAGCCCCCCCACTGCAACAACACTGCTACGAGGCGCGGGGAGCGAACAGACATGACGCAAGAGAGGTCGAGTAACTGTGGGATTAGCTCCGAATAGTGGCGTTTCTTTGTATTCCGAAGCTCAAGGAGACTTGACGCATTTGAAGAAAGGGCTTGTCCCCGCTTCTCTCCAATTCTTGCCCACTACAGGAGGTGCACACACTGCTCCTTTTACGGTGCAGGCGATAGAACCCCTAACAACGACGCTCACGCCGGATGGGCTGCTCGTGTATCACTCGAAGCGCGTTAACCCACCCCCGCGCCTGCGTTCACGCCGCTTCGCGGTGACGGTGTGCGGCTGCTAATTACAAATCTATTAACCCACCTAGCCCCCCCTAACCCCCGAACACGCCGCTTTGCGGCGTCCGGTCGGCAACCCAAGCCCCGCTGCCCCCCATGCACTTCCGTAAAAAGAGTCGATACGATTTAGTTTAGCGATGTTTCGTCAACAACATTCGTTTTTTTAGTGTTAATGGTAAAAAAGAAATGTAAATATCGCCAAATGCCTCGACAAAACAAAATGTTCGAGAAAAAAAATAAAAAGAAGTAAGCCGGCCCACACCATAAATAGAACCCGGGTCTGACACGTAAGAGGCAGACATCTCACCACTAAGTTACGCTACCTCTTCGGAAACTCGCATTGCATCCGCTGCCTATGATGACGGCGGCAGCGCCTATCTCCAAGCAAGCAAGCAAAACTTTATTTTGTGTAAGGGCCTACGTCCTGGTCTGGACGGCCCGTCCGGCCCATGTCTCGCGGATGGGTTCCGTAAGGTTACCGTGTAGCCTTGTTCGTGGAGCAAGGCTTTACGAACCAGCCAATCCGGCGTGCGTGAGCACCGTTGCTAGGGTTTGTATCGCCTGCGCGTTAAAAATATGCCCGCGCGGGTCGGGGGGCAGTGCCCTTGGTATTCCTTGGGCGCCGCCGGCCTGTGTCTGCTCTGCCCAGTGGCGGCCGTTTCAGGGGGGGCAAAACGCATGCCTTGCCCCCCCACTCTGAGAACTGGGGGGGCAAGTGCCCCCCTTGCCCCCCCGGTTGGTACGCCCATGCCTACGTTTGCAAATCTCAAATTGTTCTGCTGCCTGGCACAGGCCAACATCGACCGGTGAATGAAGGAGTTCGAAGGACGAGCTCGGTCAGGAGCCCCGAGACCTTTTTTGATATTTGTATGTCGGCGAGGCATTCTGAACAAAATATTGACCCATTGGGAACTCGCGGACAGGGCAAGAATTTCTCTTTGGTTGATTACGCGCGCCCGGCAGGAAGCTGCGATACCACGTACAATCGGCAAGTGAGAGTGCTCTCGCTCTCTCCCTGACCAAAGACGGACCCCTGAATCAAGTATTAGCTGCGTAATTTATAGAAGGGGCTACAGAAATTATTTGCACGATGGGTATGCCCTTTCTTTGGTTAGAAGTTGCTAAAGTACATTTAATGAGGCATTTATGCAATTTCTTTCGATAAAAACACTGCCCTTAACATTTTATTGTACAGTAAAAAAAAAAGTTGGAGACTCAAAACTGTAGCTGTTATCCGCAAGAAAGCTGCGGGTCGAGGATTGCCCGCTCTGGGGTTTCCCTTCTCTTTTTTTTTCCCTAGCCAATTGCAGTGACAATGTTGAACATTTGAGTTTTATAGTATTGAATCTGACCTTTTAAATGTCAAATCTCAAGTGAGCTCCTGGGGTAAAAAAACCTAGGGCTTCGGCTTGAATGGCTTTACTAGTGTTGCAGGTGTATTTTAACTTTATCAGCTTTTATTCTATTGTTATTCTATGCTGTCAATGTGCTTCTTCTGGAACCAACTTAGTGCCTCTATTCTTGCAACATCTCATTGAAAGCAGCAAGTGTGTTTATTTATTTAGTAATACTAACATTTGGAACTTCAGTAGGGTGGTTACAAAGGGTTAAAATAAATAAATAAAGATTGTGCAGTTGGTGGTGATGTTGAGTGGCTTAGCCAGGAATTTTTTTCGGGAAGGGGGGCGGGCTGGAAGGTGGTTGGGATGTTCATGATTTGGGGTGCAGAGAGGGGCAGGAGGTGTCAAAATGTATGCGTATCTTAGAGGATCGGCTGGATTTCGGTGAGGAGCTGAATCCCCATCAGCCCTCCCCCTGGCTACGCCCCTGGTGCAGTTTAAGAACTATATACAAATTATAGGGTGAACATAACTGGACTACAATGGTGAATCTACGTATATGAGCCATAATGCAATATAATAACGCAACAGACATCCTACATGTTTAAAGGAGAAAATAAAATAAGTACAGTGAGCGAATAATAAAATCTTAGTAGTAAGCAAATAGTATGCACAAGTTGGACGAGGTAATGGTCTAAGGTATTTGCGAACGAATCTATACAGACGTGGATTGAATGGTGTCAGACAAACGATTACATTCAGACACTACCTGCGGGAAAACTTGGTATTTAAAAAAAATGATTGTTACGTCAATATTTTGTTAGTAGCCTGCTGTGGTGTTGTGCATGCCGATTTCTTACGAATGTGTGCTTGTTTCTGATTTCATTTATATTTTGTGTCCTTGCCTGGGCAGATGCTGAAGCACGGGCGTGCGGGCGTGCCCATGGAGGTGATGGGGCTCATGCTGGGGGAGTTTGTGGACGACTACACCGTGCGGGTCATAGACGTCTTCGCCATGCCCCAGTCTGGAACGGTGAGCGGGGAATTGGCCGAATCGCCCTCAGATCCACTTTGCTTGCGGATGCTAACGGGCAGCAAACGACCGTCGCTGCGACGTATTAGTGGAGAGGTTGGCGGTTTAAAGGATTCTCAACCTTTCTGTCGAGGAACACCTGCCATTCTTTCCGAACTTGTCCGATGTTGCCATGTACGTGGAAGGTAGTGTGATGGGGATGAAACACGGAAGACACAAAAGAGGATACATTTACAGGGACAGAGGACAACACGCGCAGCTCTTTCAAATAGCAACAGACATGTATTGACCTTCTTTTTCATATTCCTTTCTTTTTTTCTTTCTTCACAGATCAAGATGAGCCACTTTAGTGAAATGGGTGTCAATACATGTCCGTTGCTATTTGAAAGAGCTGTGTGTGTAGAATGTTCTGAACAGGAACAAACAATGCATGACAGGATTCTACTAAAAAGTTCTAGAAGAGCCATGAAATCATCTTACGTGGCTCTTCTAGAACCTTTTAGTAGAATCCTGCAATGCATTGCTTGTTCCTGTTCAGAACATTCTATAGGTTGATGGGGTTCATACCCCATTCTTTTGTGTGGGAGCCGCGGGACGTGCAAACTTGGCCATGCACAAAGCTATAAACTGCACAAAAAAAAAAAAAAAAAAAAGGGTTTTCTTAGATTAGGGGTTTATCATTCATTCATCCATTTATCATTGTTTAAGGGCCCCAGCAGGGGCATTATGTAAGGGGGGGTGGCAATCATACCTCGGCAAACTCACTCATGAACTCGCTCACTCACGCTCACTCACACTCACCGCGTGATTGTGAGTGGCTGTGAGCGAGTTCGTGAAGTTTGAAGAGTTCATGATGTGATTGTGAGTGACTTCATGAACTCGGATCAGCTCATGATGTGATCGTGAGCGACTTCATGAGCGTGATGAGTTCATGACGAGACGGTGAGTGACTTCGTGAGCGTGATGAGTTCATGATGGGGTGGTGAATGACTTCGTGAGCGTGATGAGTTTGTGATGGGATTGTGAGTAGCATCGTGAGCGTGATGGGTTCGTGATCTGATGGGGAGTGAACCTGTGAAATCTGAAACGTTCGTGATTGTGAGTGAGTTCATGAGTGCATTCAGACGCTGAAATGAGTTTGGCTGTTGGCGTTTCTTGCGAAAGTTGTGCGGCTTGACTTTGGAGAGCTGAGTGGCGCCGCGAAAGAGGGGAGGGGGGGAGGGATATTGATGGCAAGGGTGGTGCGGACCGCGCGGGTGGTGGAGTGTTTTTTTTTGTTTTTTTTTTTTGTAAACGTGCGACTGTTGTGTTTGGTTGTGTTTTTATTGCGTTTCCGTGCTTGAGCAGATGGATGAGCTTGAGGGGGCGTCGCAGAAGCAAAGCTGTAGAGAGGTTTTTGTGTAGTCGGCATGGATTACGGCGCCTTCCGCGCGTAAAAGAGGAGAGTCGTGGGCTGGGGAGGTGGCGTTCGCAGTGCAAGGAGCTGAAGTTTGTTTGCCAGCAATTTCATGGCGATTGATTGAAAGCACGTTTATTGTCGAGTTGTGTTCGCGCAGCCTTTGGAACGTTTGAAGTGCTGTGTGCATCACGCACATCGGGCTGGGCAAAAACCGGCGATAGCGGGGCTTGTATACCTATAGAAATGGAGTCATCGAAGATAGCGGGCGAGAATATTTACTTCCGCTGCCACAAGCTGGGAGGGGAGGGGGGGGGGGGGGGGCGTGGCACTAGAAAGGTCGCGTTTAGCGCAATGTCTAGCGTTACGTCCTGCGGAAACCGAAATAAAAATTAAAGTTACGTCCGAGGTAAGTTTACCCCAAGGCTGCGAGTTACGTCCGACGTAACCCAATATGAAAATTAAAGTTACGTCCGACCGAACACGAAATAAAAATTAAAGTTACGTCCGACCGAACTCGATATAAAAATTAAAGTTACGTTCGACCGAACTCGAAATAAAGAGTGAAGTTACGTCCGACGGAGCCCGATATAAAAATTAAAGTTACGGTAAATGGATAGGTGGGCTAGTTGGTAGATGTTTAACTTGCGAAGCGCCTAAAAAACGAGGACACGAGGACGACGAGATAGGACCAGCGCTTTTAACCGATCAACGAATGCTGCATCGGACGTAACGTAGTAATAATTCACGATATCTTTTCGTTTACATCATGTATAGGTCGTAAAGTGTAACATTCAGTAAGGTTGCGTTGGTTACACAGGACATAACTTAAGCTTTTATTTCCGTCTACTTTAATTTTTACTTTAACTTTAATTTTGATTTCGAATTCCGTCGGACGTAACTCGAAACCTTGGGGTAAAATGACTTTGGACGTAACTCTAATTTTTATTTTGGTTTCCGTCGGCAGTAAAGCTAGAAGCAAGGAACGTGGTGATCACGTTTCCGAGCACGAGTCCACGGACAAAACGATGTCCGCGCTCAACTCCTGCTATACTTCGTCTAACCTTAGCATGGACTACTGTTAACCGGGAATGCTAAAAGCGCGAGCTAGTTGCTTTGGATGAAGCTTGGTCGTCTGCACGAGACGATCTGCAGGCTGGTATTTATCGCACAGAAATCTTACATACTGTATTCTTTTAACGACATACTTGTGAACCTGATAATGGGTTCACAATCGTTTCCTAACTAACTCGCCTAGCTGTATTCTTTCCATTCTAAAGAGCTATTAACAAAACGATATGTTTTATAAGCTAGCATTGAACACTTTAGTATCTTAAAGGAGGCATGAAACCGTTTTCGCCTGTTCCGGCTTGCGTGCAATTTGGGGTTGTTTTTTTGCACATGTCTTTTTCGCACAATCATGCCTTTATGTTTGATACACGTTGTACGATTTTAAGTAAGCTTTTGTTGTTGCGTCGTCGCTTGTGCGGCCATAAAAGTGCGGTGGAAGCTACGGTGCTTAACGTTAGAGCTGAGACATCGCAAGCGAAATCTTATCATATTAATTGGGTTTTAATTCCCTTTCCACATATACTTGAAATTTTCGATTGCAAGGTCACTCGTGCGGCAAGAAAATATTAATAATAAATCGTGAATGGCACTTGAACTACGAGCTATCTTTACTGGCTTTATGCCACAGGAGAACAAATATTACATGCACAATCGCACAACGTAATGTCGGCTTAATTCGGAGACATTCCGAAAGATCCCCAGATGGTCGAAATTAATCCTCAGCTCTCCGCTGGGGCGTACAGATGCCCTTCGTCGAACTCGTAAACGTTTTTTTTTTTTTTTTATTTGAGGCGCGTGATTGAGTTGTGCATTGGCAGCACACGGACGAATGCAGTTCTCACATAAGCCAGAAGTACAAGCAGCGACACATACGCCTATATCCTTCGATAAATAACGATTCGTGATTCCTAAAAGTCGACAAACATTGTTCTTCAGACGTGCGAGAAACGTAAAGGCAGTACGTGCTAGAACGAAAACATTGTGTCTCGATCGATAGCTCATTCCAATACAATTCAGTGCTGCGCCGCCATTTGTTTCCAAGAGCCCACGAAGCGTGCACCTGCTCATTGGCACTTCTTTTTTTTTCGAATATAAGACATATGAAGCACATCGAGGGTTAAAGTGCCTCAATGTTGCTTGTGCGCTGCGCCAGCACAGCATCATTGAGGAACTCTATCAAGGGGCTTTAACCAGCACACTTACAAGCAGGGTGGAGAAAAAAGGAGTTTATTTAAATCACATAATTTCTTGCTGCCTCAATTTGTATGAACCCTTTCCGCCAAATATTATTCTGAAAAACAGCATTTATTTTGATTTGGAGTTTCCGTCATTCGGTAGTTTTAATTTAAACGCTTATGTGTGACTGATATTGAATAATCAGAAGGGAAGAATCATTTCTTGGCACGGCGCAGAAAAAAATAAGTGGTCCACGTCTGAGGTGAGTACAAATCAGTCTATGAGGAAACAGCTTGAACATTAAACACTTACACGCAGACAGGGGAGGACATACACAGAGCTGACCATCAACTATTTAATACTTCTTCTTCCTCCACCTCCTCTTCTTCGTAGTTCCTTCGAGCATTCCATGATTGCGAGATAGAATGGGGGGATCGGTGGCCGAGTGGGCTAAAGCGCACACCCTGCTCGACGCGCGTGGAGCGAAAGCTCGCGCTGCACCGTACCGGCGTGCGGTCGTGCATCACTACTGCGTGGTGCACGTTAAGGGGACATGCGGGTCGAAAAACCGACTTTTTCCCGAAAATTACCGATTTTTCGTTTGTGCTTGTTTTATTATCTTCATACATCCTATATTTACGTATAAAATAATCAGAACAATATTTGTACGAAAAGTTTATGAAAACCGCGTCTGAACAACTCGCGGCAGGCCGAGAAATCGCTAAATTTTTCGAATCTCGCCCATCTTTGAGCGGCTCCAACTCGCGATAGCGGCGCCGTCCGCCATTGCTAATGTTTGGGCAGGTAGCGACAACCTTCCTCTCGCTGGCGAAACATCCGTCAGTTTCGTATTTCCTCGGCCAATAATAATAAACTGCGCATTTTGCCGCGTCTTTCGCGCGTCTCTACTGGACCTTTAAATCACGTGGTCCCATCGCGCGACCGCCATTGGCTGAGCGGCTTGCGGGACAGGAGCGAAGCCTGGGTGTTGCTCTCGCGTCGCTACGTCGCAAACAAGAACTGCAGTGTTTCTACGTTTTTCCGACTTTATTTGCGATGGACAACTGTAAAAAGCGCGATTTTACTGTTCGAAAGTTCCGGAGCAAGTACAAGTTCCAAGGAAGGCGGCGCAAACTCAAGCGGAGAACGCCAACGGCGCAAAGTTTACCGCTGCCCGATAGGCCTAACCGCAGCAACGATGGCTGTTCCGGCGGCTCCGAAGAGATCGACCCAGTTGACGCTGCGTTCACGTTTGTCAGTGCTTCGGAAAAAAAAAATCGGGTTCTTCGAAAACGAAGAGAGACGAAGCGGCGATGGTTCTGCGAGTGCAGTGGTGTGTGACATTGGTGCACTGACGACACTAGTGAGCGGTGTGACTTGCCCCGCTTGTCACGAAGGCAAACTCTCCGTTCGGGAGTCGGCGGAGAAGCGTAAGGGACTTGCGTCGTTCCTCGAACTGCATTGTGAGAACAGCGAGTGCCCAGAGTCAGTTCTTTCGTCAACGTTTACGTCAAAACGTGTCACCCCCAGTGGAGCCGAAAGCGCGAACGGACGCCACGACAGTGGGAGCTCGCGCGACGGTTTTGCAGTCAATGTGAAGGCTGTAGTGGCCACGCGTGCGATAGGAGCCGGACACGAGCAGCTCTCACGCTTCTGTGCTATTCTCGGCCTGCCGAAGCCTATGCACCATAAGACCTTCAATTCGATCGGCAAGAAGGTTCATGACGCTGCCATGACAGCCGCCAGTCAGAACCTTGAGAAGGCCAGGCTCCTGACCAAAGAGGAGGTGGGTGGAGCGGATGTCGCCGTAATGTTTGATGGTACTTGGCAGAAGAGGGGCCACAAGAGCCACAACGGTGTGGGCACAGCCGTGTCTGTGGACACTGGTCTGTGTTTGGATTTTGAAGTTTTGTCAAACTACTGCCTTGCATGTAGTCGGCACCAAGACTTGGGTGAAGAAGAAGAGGCCTGGCAGGCATTCCATAGTGTTGACTGTGAGAGGAATGTTGAGTGCTCCTCCCATGCCATGGAGACGGAGGCAGCAGTCCGCATATGGCAGAGAACCCCATTCTACAAGACGCCACTGCGCTTTACAAAGTTTTTGAGCGATGGAGATAGCAAGGCGTTCACAGCAGTGTCCGAGGCCGACGTGTATGATGGAGCAGCAATTGAGAAGGAAGACTGCACTAACCATGTGGCGAAGCGTCTTGGCCCTGGCCTTCGCAAACTCAAGACTCCGCTACCACGTGGGGAGAAGCTCAAGGACGGCACCATCCAGAAGCTTCAAACATACTACCAGATAGCAGTGATAAGCAACAGAGCCGACATCCGCGGCATGTATTGTGCCATATGGGCATCATACTTCCACTCTTGCTCTACGAACACTGCTCACAGCCACAAGTTCTGCCCAGAGGGAGCGACGTCTTGGTGTAAACACAAACGAGCCGAAGCCCTGGGAGAGCCTGCGCCAGACCACACCCCAACCCTGACCAAGGCCCAGGGGAAGGCAGTGCTCCCCATCTACAGACGGTTGACTGACGAGAAGCTGCTGGCCCGCTGTATCCGAGGGAAAACCCAGAATGCTGCCGAGTCCCTGAACAGCAAGATCTGGCTGCTCTGCCCAAAGACAAGGTTTGCCTCCCGGACGGTCGTGGAAACGGCCACAGCGATAGCAGTCCTGTGGTTCAATAGGGGGCATGCAAGCTTCGAACATGTCTTGGAGGAGCTCGGAGTGCTTCCACCTGAAGGACTTCTCACACTTGGCGACTCCCGTGACGATCTACGGATCCGGAGAATGTCTGCCCAGCAGACAGCGGAGGCACGAGCCCATCGCCGCAGCATGGTCACGAAGGCCCGTCTCGAGGACTCTAGCCGCAAGGACCATGAGGGAACAACGTACAGTGCAGGAGACTTTTAGACACTCTGCATTCTCCCTAGGCACCCCGCTCCAGCCAAGTTTTGTGTAATTACTGTTGCTCTTTGACGGGAATACATCTTTTGAACTTTCAGATGTGTTTTCTTTTTGCAATTTCGGGCAATCTTCATAGTTTGTGCGCTTCTTTTTTGGCACTTAGAGTATTCACATCATAACGAAATTTTGTCCCTATGATCATTACAGTATGCAGAATGCTAGTATGTATTTGAAATTGAAATATCTCACTTATATTGATGAGTACACATATTTTGAACTTTCAAATGCACTTTTCTCATTTTGCAATTTTGGGCAATCGTCACAGTTTGTGCGCTCCATTTTTGGCACTTAGAATCTTCGCATTACAATGAAACTTTGCACCTATGATCTTGGGTATATGTAGAGTGCAGGTATGTATTTGAAACTGCAATATCTCTGTTATATTTATAGAAACTTGAAAAAAACCTGTAAAGGGGTTTTAGAATAGAAGTTTTACCAAGATATTTTTTTTTCTTTCAAGATTGGAAAGTAGTGCACAGCTTCTGACTAGTTATTTGCAATCTACACTTCATAAAGAGCAAAATGAGCTAATGCCCAATGCTCCTTGTGAAAAATTACTATGTTGGAGCGTGTGCACAAAAAATACTCTTTTCTGTCGTTGGGTGTGGCACTAAACAAAAACTATATAAGCCACATTAAAACTGATTACAGTTCTGAAAAGAACAGGCAAAACTCTATAAATATCTAAAGTTTCATCGTCCTCGGGCAAAAATTAAAAAAAGTGTGCCTCCGAGTAGCATGTTCCCTTAAAGACCCCAGGCTAGCAGTCGTACTGCACTGGCTAAATTGCTCATCTACAGTGGGTAACAATATCGCCATGTTCTGGCAGACTAAACTCCTGCTGTATAAACAAAACTAATTTGTTTTTTATTTTGAGATAGAATGCAGTTTTAGAATTTTTTTTTAAAGAACAAAGCATAATAAGGAGTACATATATAAAATAAATAACAGACGAAAGAAAAATAAGAAAAATATACTACACAAACGAAAACTAAAAATTAAAAAAAAAAAAAAAATCTGCAAATGCCCAAGCAGATCCCATACATTTCTAATTTCGAGTCACAGACATCAGTATCCCGTGGATGTTTTTTGAGAAATTCTTCCCATGACTGCCCTCACGAGCAACGTTACTGGAGCAAGCTCAGTTTCACAGCTCTGCCTGTGACGTGGGCTCAGTGGCGGTCACGAGAACTCGCAGCGAGTCGAGTCTTGTTTCCGGATCGTCTAGCCCGCGAAGCTTCAATAGCAATACTCGAGTTTGAGCGAGTTGGCAATTCATACTAATATTTCACAGCGCAAGGAAACAGACGCGCACAAAAATAAATTTCAAACACTCAAAGAACACTCACAACGCACCGACTCTGATCTCTGTGGTGTGTTACACTTCATCTTCATTACCTTTTTTTTTTCTTTCTTTTGCTAATATACACATGCAAGTAAAAAATAAAAGGAAGAAAAGAAAAAGCAAAAAAGAAGCTCTCAACGCGGTGGTAGTAGACGACGCGCGGGACCGGGGAGCAAGATCCGACTGCAGCGCCGCTAGTTTTCGTGACCGCCACCTGGGCCACTCGCCTTTGCAGGCGAGAATAGGGAGCTGCGAAACTGAGCTTGCTTTAGTAACGTTGCTCACGAGTCAGTGGCCCTACTAGTCCAAAGCCGCAACACACCGTAAAAATTGTTTTTACGGTGTGTTGCTTGTGCGGCTTTCCCAGAGCATTTCGAATTCCCGCTACTCCTAGCTCTGTCAGCGCAAGTAAAGAGATTAAAAATATCAGGAGAGGACTCTCCTCCAGAAGATGATTGCTTGCGGAAGCTACGGGGCTGACGTCATTCTCTTTTTTAATCGTGTTTTCTCATTTATAAAATATTGCGTTAAACATTATACTTGTACTTTCAGTTGAAACATGGCCCACTCTAAATTAGCCACTCCACGTCCGTTGTGACATGTCTTTCAACACAATCAATTGCTCAGACTTCCCTATCTGCAACGATTTCCAAAAATTGTACCGTCTTCCATTCCTTCTTTTTTTTCTATAAAATTAATTTTCTATGTTCGCACTACTGCTACAATTCAACACCACTGAAAGCGTTTCCCATGCTGAGACTGCGAACACATGCTCTAAATTGCCTGACCCTTTTTGATTGAGAAACCATGCTTTTTTTTTTTTAAACAAACAAACGAAAAAAAAACTTGCTTGTAGGTCTTGTTATTTAGAGATTGATAAAAAGAGTTTGTTCTTTTTAATACAGTGATGAATCACAGGCGTAATAGAATACCGATGAATGAGAAATGTTTCCATAACGCTCCTTGTAACCTCAAATTTCAGTGGGCTCGCTCAGAGCGAAGTGGCGAAGCGAAAACGAATCTCCATATTGTGTTATCTCGAGGTCGGCTTATTTTAGCTATATCTAGCGGATCACAAGCTCCACCCATCTGCCGAACTTTCTCAGCATATGGCTCGGATATATGGAGCTCTATGCCGCTAGTTAGCGAAAACGGGCAAAAATGGGTCCCAGTTTCCCAAGACCACTTTAGAAAAAATAACGTTTGAAGAAGATAACGGTTGGCTACCTTGGTTCGGACCTCTAGCGCTGCATCTTGGCGGAGAATGAGCGTTCAACAAAACATTAAAAAGACGATTGAGGGGGGAGATTTGCCGTATATATATATATATATATATATATATATATATATATATATATATATATATAAAGTAATGAATTCGCACTTCGAAACGTATTTTAAATTTACATATATGTATATATAAATTAACATACTCCTTCATTCACAAAATTCGTTTCGTGATACTAAACAAGCCTGCGGATAGTCCGCACAACGTAAAATTTCAACGGTCTGCACTCCAGAAACGACGTTCGATGGGCGGAAACAAGACGGCGGACAAGAGTTGGGGGTCTCGACTTTTGAGTCCGCAGCGCTTGCAACCATGCTGGCTGCAGCACACGCTCCCTGCTTGTCCCGGAGCGGTTTTCCCCGTGGGATGGGGGGCCGGGGACAACAGGAAGTTGTCGTCCCGAATCTGTTTGACCTTGGAAAAGCGGGTTTCGCGCTCGGTGCAAATAAAAGGGGAAAAGAAAAAAACTTTCGGGGGTTGGCTTTTTTGTATATATAGTTTTTTTTTTTTTTAGTAGTGCTGTGGTGCCGGCGTGGTGTGGATGCCTCTTGCTCAATGTTAAAAAAACTAAAAAGAAATACTGGGAACAAACCAAAACAAACATTAGAGCCGCAGGCGCCGGCCCGCTCGGCTCGTAGCGAGGAGGCCCCTCGATGAGGGGACGCGAGACCGTGATTGTGAGTGGCTGGCCGCGAGTTTGAGCTCCTCATGAGTGTGAGTAGCCGTGATGGGGTTGTGAGTGGGGCTTCCTCATCATGAGTGTGAGTAGCCGTGAAGGCGGCGACTCCGAGGGGCCGTGATGTGAGTGGCTGGCCGTGAGTGTGGTCTCCTCATGAGTGTGGGTAGCCGTCATGGGGTCATGAGTGGGACCTCCTCTTCATGAGTGTAAGTAGCCGTGATCGGGGCGACTCTGAGGGGCCGTGATGTGAGTGGCTGGCCGTGAGTGTGAGCTCCTCATGAGTGTGAGTAGCCGTGATGCGGCCGTGAGTGGGGCCTCCTCTTCATGAGTGTGAGTAGCCGTGAAGGGGGCGACTCTGAGGGGCCGTGATGTGAGTGACTGGCTGTGAGTGGGACCTCCTCGTGATTGTGAGTAACCATGATGGGGGCAAGTTTGCGGGTGCGTGATGTGATTGGCTATGAGTCTTTGGCACAGTTGAACTCTGTGATGTGAAGGGCTGTGACTTTTGAATGGTGGTGTACTTTGTGATGTGATTCCGAATGACTTTGATGGGCTGCCAATTTCGGTGATGTGATGGTGAGTGAGTGGGTCCTAAAATGCCGACCTATGGTGGCAATACAGTAAAAAAATATTTATGTGGAACATTGGCATGCAGATAAGGAGAAAAAACAAAAATTATAGAAGAAAAAATGCATGTGAAAAATTAGATGCACGCGCAAACAAATAAAAGTAATTTGAGGGGAAAAAATGTTTTGGATGTAGACCAAGCAGCAGCCATGTTTGAGAATGTGACCGATTATAAAACGATAGGAGATGATACAGCATTTCTCAAAATATCTAAGTAAGCGATTAATATTGTATTTGGCAGATCATTCCATTCTGTTGTGGCAAGGGGAAGGCATGAGTTGTTAAAACGTGCTCTGGAACCAGGGGTCCGACTTGCACTCTCTCGAGTGTAGGGGCCGGGGAGCCCACCCTGGAAAGGTCCAGGGCCAACGAAGAGGGGCGATATGTTTTGGAACAGACAGACAGACACAGCGCTTCACGCCACCAAAAATGCAGAGTCTCTCGGAGACACCCCAGAGATTTCCGCTCTTTCCGAGCTCGACGTTTTGCCATTGCTATTTTTAGCTTTCCTTTTTTTTTACAATTACCTTGGGCCCATACCTGATGCAATAACGAGATTCGAAATGGCACCGCTCTGCCAACGTGCTGGCATTTTCGGACGGAGCGCGGAAACTGTCGTTGCTCTGTCACTCGGTTCGCTCAAGAATGAATCTAGCTCGTGGTGTCTAAAAAAACAATTCTTCATAGTACACTTTTGTCATTCTTGATAACGTTTATGGCAGCCAGCTTTACAAGAATATACTCATATTTTAATAATATTTTTCGACGACTAAGAGGTTGATCACGTAGCTTCATTTTTGGCAGTTGCTGCAGCTGAGTGAGAGCTCGCGCAGCCAAAGTGCGTCTTTGAGCAATCGTAGGCTTGCAGCCTACGATTGCTCCCAAGTTCAGAAGCCCGTAAGGCGCGAGATTTCTGCCTTCAATAACACTTCCTCGCCCGTGCAGCCAAAGCCCTTTGGAAGGTGACGACCACGTTCTGGAGGTAGAGAATCTTGGTACATAAAAGGGCGCTAAAGTGATTTCTGGAGATTGCCTATTCATGGTCAAAACTCAACCTACGGGCTTCTAAATATTCTAAAATACCCATGATTAGATTCATATGCATCTGATCTTTGTATTAAGAACTAAACCCAAGATTCGGACGCAACCGTTTTTCTGCGATTTGGCGCAGCCACTCACGAGCAACCGTTTCCGGCATGCGAGTCACGCACATTAGAAAAGTATTCTGCTGTCGGTCGGCCCCTTGCCACGCGGTAAGCAATTGCTCGCGATTGGTTGTCGCACGTCAGGTGGCACCGTTCGGTTTCTACGCCAAACGGCGAAAAAACAGGCGTGTCGCGATTTTTGATCCTGTTTTTAATGGTGAAATTGGACGTGTATCAATCTAATCTAGGGTTATTTAGTATGCTGGGAGGCCATAGATTGTGTTATGACCATAAGTAGACATTTTCAGAAACCACTATAGTGCCCCCTTATTCTGGCAGTGGCCAAGGTAGTTGGCACTGTTGGGCAAAGTACATCATAAAAGTACTTTAAGTAAAGTACAAAGTAAGTGAGAGGTTATGTACTTCAAGTGAAGTAGTAGTAAGTACACTAGCTGCAATGTACTTCGAGTAAAGTGCTATATATACAGTGTACTTTCAAAGTAGAGTAGTACAAGTAGTCTTTAAAAGAGCTTAATTTTAAAAGAGCTGTGGTCTTTAAAAAAGCTTAATTTTGCCAAACCAAATTTAGGGAGTGTACTTTGAAGTTGGGAGTTGTTCTTTCTTCGGAAAGTGCATACTCAGAAAATGTACCTGAAGTACAAGTTTTCTAAACCTATTTGAAGTAGTATTTTAAGTACAATGTCCTTAAAGTACTTCCCAACACTGGTAGTGGGATTGGCATGCTGGCGATTGACATGAAAAAGAGCCAGGAAATGGAAAAAAAATAAGCGAAAGAATATTCGGTACGTAAGAGAACAGAATAGTGCAAAATATTTGAACAGTTTATAAGAGCGGAGCTACTTTTTGAGCGGAAATGAATCGACCACATAGAGATGTAGTGCTCCAGACATGAGAACGAGTGCTTGCACCCGCGGGAAGCTTGCGGGCCGCGTGAAGAGACCCCTGCCTTAGATAGCATGCACATGATTTGTAGTTTGCACGCAGATGCAGCTCACCTCGAAAAATACCCGCGCTGCTAGTGCATAATGAGGTTTATATCTTAAAGAAACTGGTTTTAACTTTTAACTTGATTTGTCATCCACAAAAAAAAAAAAAGTGAAAGCCATTTACAACTCCCTGTAACACCGAATTAGAGTGCAGCTCTTGAGGAGGAGGAGGGAAGGGTACTGGGGGGGGGGGGGTGAAGTGACCTGGGGGGGTCACGTGATGATGCCGATGATGTCATCAGTGACGTCACTGATGACATCATCAGTGACGATGACGATGCGGACTCCGATGACGTCATCAGCGATGATGATGATGACGATGCGGATGTCAGTGACATCATCAGTGACGTCACTGATGACGTCATCCGTGATGATGACGATGACGATGCGGTTGCCGGTGTGGTCATCAGTGACGTCACTGATGACATCATCAGTGATGATGACGATGCGGATGCTGGTGACGTCATCAGGGAGGTCACGTGACCTCGGAGGGGGGTCATGTGACCTTGGGGGTGGTCACGTGACCTCGGGGGGGGGGGGGGGGTCACATGACCTTGGGGGTCGCGTGATTTTGGGGTGACCTTGGTTACGCCGACGCCGACGCCGCTCAAACCGGGAACGGGCCCCTAAGAGCTGAGCTCTAAAAATTTTCCATTTTGTCCCAATGAATAGTCTTGAAAAAACAAATCCTCCTATAGTCTGCCCCCGTGGATGATATGCACCAGGCAAAATTTCAACTTGTGGACATGCCTAGCCCGGGGACTGTAGTCAAGAAAATGTGGTACCCTTTTTGGCCAATCTCCGGCCATTAAGTGGCTTTTGTGAGTAGTTCCTTGATAGACGTGATCTTTGCAGGGTGTGAGCGTGGAGGCAGTGGACCCAGTCTTCCAAGCCAAGATGCTGGACATGCTCAAGCAGACGGGCAGGTGGGTGACCTCAGCAGAAATGTGCAGCTTTTCATAGTGTTGGGCCTTTTCTACCCTAGTTACCTTAGCACTCTATACTGTCATTGAGCCAACGATTGTTAGCATCTCCCAACTGTCATTGAGCTTAACTAAGTTGTCTGATGTTACACTGTACATTGGCCTAACAACCCCAGTTCAGGTGTGTGTCAAGGGACACAGTTGAAACCGAAACAAAAACCAAAATTGATGTCGCATTACCTTTTTCTAAAAAGTGATGCATATGAACTATATGCACACTCTTCATTCATTATAAATGTTTAAAACAAAATGAAATGAACATCTTTTTTGTTTTTGGAGTAAAGAAATGACAATCAGAAAACAAATACAACTAAGTCGTTAGTTGTTTATACAGAGGGAGTGTCTCCCAGAGCATGGCGATATTGTTACCCACTGTAGATGAGAAATTTAGCCAGTGCAGTAAAACCGCTAGCCTGGAGTCTTGAACGTGCACCATGCAGTAGTGATACACGGCCGCGCACTAGTACGATGCTCATGCAGATCGAAACGGGCAGGGGTGGGGCTCGAACCCAGGATCATGGGGTTCTGCAGTACAAGCTTTCGCTCCACGTGCTCCGAGCTGGTGTGCGCTAGCCCACTCGGCCACCGATCCACTTTGACAGTCGGAACGTTTTTGCGCGAATTCAAGCAAGAAAGACACGACGAAAGTCTTATTGGCACCGACATCACAACGGTCACCCTCACATAGTTTTAGCTTCCGCGACGTGCCGTGATCGTTCTAGCGGCAGTTCTGGCCCCAGATTCTATCTCTTCCTACAATATTTGCTGCTACGATGCTTTCTAGATACCTCCCCCGATCTTCTGCAATGGTAAGTGCTTCTCTGGCGCTGGCCATGGGCGGTGATGTGGCCGACGCCACCATCCTTAGCTCTATTGAGGGAAATTCCCATCTGTTAACTGAGGTAGGCCAGCTCAGTTGAACTCAATGATTGTTAGAACCTTGATGACAGTTGGGTCGCCGTATAACTCTGGCCAAACGTGACTGAGTCAACTGTCGTTGGATCAACAACAGTTAAGAGCGCTAGTGTAACTAGCGCTCTTAACTGTCTTACATTGTCTTGTCGTATTTTTCGCTTTTTCCACGACCTGCATTGGCACCGCCTAGAAATGACGTTTGGCCAACTAAAGACTGGTTGGCACATCTGTGTCTGGGTGCAAATGTGCGAGCCATTTTTGACTCTGCAAGGTGAACTGCATTTGACCCTGCCAGCCATCGAGTCAAGTAAGATGTTAAACGGGCAGGCCATGCCAATCTAAGCGTGGCAGCGCACGCGTGTGTTATAGCTGAAAGTGGGAAGTTGCAGAAGGGATCGAAGACGTAACCAAGCGGCACATGCAGCCAATAATGCTGGAGTCGAGGAATTGTGCGGGCTCCGGAGATGTTTCGTCCATCAGATGCATCGACGTCAACGAACAAGCCTTCGTCGGTGGTTGCCTTCGGGCGGTGATATTGCGTGAATGGCTAGTCCTAGGAACGTTCGCGTCACTCTCTGTGTCCAATGAGCTTCGTAAGGCGCTTTTTCTTTGGTGGAAAGAATGCGAAGGTGCCCTAAGAAGGTTAGCAATTTGTAGAGCGTCGGCGAAGAGGTGCTGCAGTGGTGCAACCATCGAACAGGTGCCTAAAAAGGCATTTAAGCAAAAAGTACAACTGCAGAAAAGTTCACCCCGCACGATAAACGCACCCTCGAAATATGCATCAATTTTTAAGGAAAAAAGTACTTTAATTATGCGGAATCGGATGATGCGACGACGGCAGTGTTCGCATTTTCTTCTACTTTCTGCCGGCACGTCTACGACCGACCATCAGAATCGCGACGTCCAGCGGATCGACACTCCTACTTTGGCGACGTCTTTCGTTGACACTTTGGGACCACATTGAATGTGGGGACCACCATTTGTTACCACTTTAGATGCCAAATGGACCGGTTGGAGGTGCATTCCAGGCACCATAGCGGAGCTGGAATGTAGGTCTATAGCCTCCATCCGGCTCCTCCGTCTCATAAGACGTGGTATCGAGGCTGCAAAGCTAAAAGGAAACCGTGGCGACTGATCTCACGAATGGCATAAACCGTCGTGGGTCCCGAACCCGACGCTCTGCCACCGTGCCGACGGAGAGACTCGTCCGTTGAACAAAACACGCAACGTTTAAAACAGAATGACCGAATTACCCACGGACAGTCCTCGAGCATGTTGGAAGCACCTTTGCCTCGTGCGTAAGTGTGCTTTGAATGTGCATGCAGACGGTTTCTGTGTGAAGAATGTGACAGTCGTACAAGGCAAAAATTGGACAGTGTGTGCGGACTGCTTTTTGTACACTGTATTAGCACCGTGATCATGGCTTTATGTTGTTTCTTTATGCCAAGGGCAAAAACAGTGTGGGTGACCGAGTGGCCGCATTGCGTGACCGTGTCACGCGACTCCACACGGTGGAGGAGGTTCGAGAAGGACTCGGGATAGTGGGGAAATGAGCGAAACCAGCACATTCTTGGGGTGCAGACTTCATCCGCACGTTGGAGGCAGACTGTGCGGAGAGCGACGCCGTCGACAGAAGTTTGCGCAACTGTATTTCTGCGATCAAACCTACTAATCTAGTAAAATGCACAGCTTTGTAGGCCAGGAATGACTGTGGTAAATTCGCGTCAATATTAACCCGCGGATTTTTTATTTTTAAAATTGGCCTGTAATTGTAACATCAATGGGGAAAACAAAAACAAAAAAATTCTGGCAGGTCTTACGATGCTGACCGAAATCGTTCGAGCCTTTCGAACCTGTCACGCTGAAAATCGGGAGGTGGGCCCTTGGAAAACGAATTATAACCAACAAAAGTTACTCGAGTTTTACTGGTCGTAATTTGAACGCAAAATCTTTTGCCCCCATCCAACTATAAAATTTATGCGCAAAATGTTAAATATGTGTTTGATCAACATTGTAATCCAAATTCTCTTTCTTTTTACGAGTTTGCTGTCCGTTTATTATAGGGGACTGGGGACCCGTCAAACTGTTTTTCAGCTATATTCCTGGCCTCCCTTCATCAATTTGATAAGAGATAAAAGCCATTTTATTGTAGAGCACCATAGAACTCGAAGACACTGCCAATGTTATAGTAACGCTCCGTTACATTACATTATGCTCACGCCAATGGATTAGATCTTGTTTCCGGGCACGTTTGTCAACGTTATTAGGTTACAGAACTATCCATACAGGTCGCTTCCACGGTCAATGGTCCCCCCCCCCTCATCCCGTGGTCCGCCTTCCGCCGTTTGACGTGCCACCGTTTTTAAGAGGGGACAACCGCTACGTTAATTGGAGTTACGCAGGTTTTGAAGTGCAGCATCTAGTGGGGTTCACGCGTCTCCAAAGAATATGGTTTTGAAACGGACCTCTAGGCGGCGCTCCAATCAAAGGGTGGCAGGCTCGAAGGGGAGAGGCGGGTAGTTCCACGACTGAGACAATCTAATAACATAGATGTTAGTCCCCAGCATCGGAATAACCAACCCGCCGTCCCCTCCTCGCAGGCCCGAGATGGTGGTGGGCTGGTACCACTCGCACCCAGGGTTCGGCTGCTGGCTCTCGGGAGTGGACATCAACACCCAGCAGAGCTTCGAGGCCCTCTCGGAGCGGGCCGTGGCTGTGGTCGTGGACCCCATACAGAGCGTCAAGGGCAAGGTGCATCCCTCCTTCCTTCCCTCTTGCGTTCGTTGCCCCACTGCTTTGCAGTGAGGACCTCTCTATTGCTAACACCCGTAGGGCCGTCTGCCATGAAACATTGTGTGAGTGCCCGTGCAAAATTTGGAGATAATCGTGAAAAAATGCTAGATTTATCTCGGATCTAATGGACAAAGTCAGTATGCACAGGTTATTTTTTATTTGGTTACGGCTTGTTTTGTTGCAAACATTGTCCTTTCTTTTGTGATATTGGGCTCATCTTGGATTCCTCATTTCTTCCCATAAACTGTTCGAACCAACTCCGAAGGTCGCTGTGATGCGGAACGCCAGCGGTCGGCGATTGGCATTTCAACGGTCACTAAAGGCCACGACTGCATGATGAGTAGGGGTCTCTGAGATATGGTAGTAACTCAGGAGCTGGGGATGTCATGGATGAAACGTTGCATGTAGCTGCCCAACGTCTATACAGGAGAGGGCGCTGCGGTCAAATGCGTATATTATCGCGTTAAACTTTATATGCATTGGCTCAACGTTTCTAGACGAGAGGGCGCTGCGGTCAAATATTCAAATGCGTATATAACCACGTTCCATACCACACATTCTCTTTCTGACTTGGATGAAAACGAACGAAAGGCTCCGCATGCTGCGGCTCAGCGTCTACGCAGACAAGCACCACCAGAGCTTCGCCCCAATCAACATCCTTCACCACGTGGAGATGCGGTCATTTTTATATTACAGGCATGCAGCCAGAAGAATGGGTTGGGGAATGAATTGGGAGAAAGTGGCCTTATGGGATTTTACCAGAAACTGCTTCATCTAATGGCATGCGCACCAGGATGGTTGAGACGGTGGTAGAACTGGACGAGTATTTTTTATCTAGAGCACTGCAATTTGCAGCCTTTCTTGCTTCTGAAGTTTTGCACATTTTGTTATTTTGAAATTTGTTTTGCCGCAATATCTGCATACCTTTCTATTTTTGTTGTGTTGGCCGCAATAATTTTTGTTTTTGAGAAATTAAATTTTGCCTATTTATTAGATTGATTTAATACTTTTATCATTCAAACAAGTATTTATTGTCTGCATTTCAATATACATCAACAAATTTTACAATCATACAATTCAAAAAAAAAAAAAAATTTACTGAGAATTTTTAAGATGGGCAGTTTTTCAGCGGTCAAGGAAGAGTCACCGTAAAATCCCGAGAGATGCCCCACCCTTGAAAGATAACCCACCCCTATTTTTGGTTTGATTTGCTATATTTTTTTAAGCACCAAAAGATAGCCCACTCTTTGTAATAGCAGTGTTGGGATCAATAATGGCCTCGGCATAAATGGGGAGAGTTAGCTATGGCGGAATACAAGCAAACATTGCTGACTGGGAAGTGCAGTCATCTTTGCTTCATTGCCCATGGCCACCATGACAAGCTTGGAAGGGACAGAACCTAAAAATGGCAATTTTTTACAGCAGAGCTGTTAAGGGCTAGGTTTCCCAGGATCGTGTCCGGTATGTTGACACAAACCTACCTGGACAGCTACTGCCATCTATAAGCGACGGTGGCAAGCACACAACCAGTATGTTGTGGCAGGCTCGCTCATTAGATTGCATGAGCAGACCAAACGTTAGTCGTGCCTGGGTGTCTGAACGCAATGGTTAGAAAACACTGGCCGAATATCACTGCAGGCAAATGTACAATTGGAGTGAAGTGAAGTTTGAGTATGCTTCGAGTGTTGGCGTAAGCATTTGGGGTGCTGATAAAGCGAATAGCTCTTTTATTTTTAAGAGCCGAGGAGAGCCGGCCCTCCGTTTGTATTTCTGTCAGGGGGTTCCGGGCTTTGAGGCTTCATTTGCCAGGAAGTTTACGCCTTGTTATACAGTGTAGACCGCATATAACATATGTCTCCGGAGTCACAAAAATCCGCACTATAAGCGGTACCGCACTATAACCAAAACATAAATTTTTCAGGCCAAAATACATGCCATGAGACAACTTACCTTTGGAAAAGAATTTATTTTTTGTTAGATGAAAAAATAAGCTTAGTTTGAGGGAAGTCTTTATTTCAGTAGACTAGCACAGTTATGTCACAAGTGTGTCACACATTTTAAAAGAAATTAGCGGCTTTTGCCTGGCGCAGCCTTTTAACGGCGTCGTGGGTTGCGGACGGACGTTGCGAGCGTTCAGGATTGCTAACCCTAATCCCTTTTCTCCAGAGATGAAAACGCTTGAAAATTCGCATCCTTCATACGATATGCGCCAGTAATACCTTGAACTTGAGCACACGCATGAAATGCGCCAAATAAGAAATCCGGGCGATGTTCGATGACACAAATGCTTAGAAATCACCACTGTAGTTGAAGTAAACAAACACGACGACACGGGCGTTTCTGCCGTCTTGAAAGCGCCGCCACGACATCGCCGCACGAGTAGGTGGATCTTCCCTTCTAGTACGTGCTGGGCTATCATAGCGACACACAACGAAAATTCAGAGTCAAGGATTGCGCTTTTACGCAGAACGATGAGATGCATGCCGTCTACAACGACGATCACAGCCGACGCCATATTTGCGGAATAGAAGCAGCCCGCCCGCGACCGGCATGCAACGCGCGCGAACACTTCTCCTCGACTTGCGATTGGTCTGTCGTTGCGGTTGTTTGTTTCTTTGTTTCCGACGCAGCGGAGGGACGCATGCACGTGAACGACTCGTGCGTGCGTCCCTCCGTCGCTATGGCAACTGAAGCCTCTCTCTTCGCTTCTCCCCGCGTTTTCGAGCAACCTCCTTGCCCCGCGAGTGCAGTTTGCGGCTCGCGCCGTCAGCGCCGTTATCTAGTGTCGCACAGGGAAGCGAGCTCGCTGCTTAGGTCGTCGGCAAGGTCGGCGGGCTGTGCCAAAAACCGCACTATAACCGGTATTTTCCTTCGCGCGCCTGCATTTTAAGCGGTATGTAATTACATGGAGTTCTATGGGAGGTGAACCGGTGGTTTAAAAAAACCGCGTTATACCCGGTCCTGCACTATAAGCGGTTACGTTGTCAGTGGTCTATACTGTATTTGCTAAAGGAAGCCTGCATACGAAAGTCCTCGAAGAGAATAGGAAAAAAGAAAATACCCACCTCCTTCTCTTCTAAAACTCTGCGAAGACCTCCACTTGGTGCGAGAAATCGGGCAATTCTGTGGAGTGCTTTGGTAGATGCAAGCAGACGAGTCAGTCCGTGCCTTGTTCTTGCTTTGTTGCTCAAGAATTGCCGCATTCACGTCGGGTTTCACTTGTAGTTGAACTTGGCACTTCAATTTTGAAAACACGAGTGTTTTTCGGAATCTCGCTTGGCTTGTAAAGCTGGAGACGTGGAGACTGAATTATGAGGAACCCCGATAGATCCCGAAGAGCACTGCCTAGCCGGTTTTATGAAAATCGAAGAAAACGGGGAAAAACCTGAACTTTGTGGGAAGAAGCCATTATCGACTGCTTTGTTTTGTGTTCAGCCGTGACACAGTCTGCACCGTTGGGGGAACTGCTGCTTTCCTCGTAAACCATGCCCCTTGTCGCGTTTTCTTCTCGTGTAGGTTCTAGGATCTTTACCAAGGGGTGAAACGTGTGTTCGCCAGCACTTCGGAAATCTCACGCCCATGTCTAGTTTTTTTCAACGTAAGCCTCGATAAACACCAATGTAGTGTCCCACTCTGAAAATTGACACTGAAGCTGCGGGAGGAAAAGCATCTCCCAAGTCCAAGAAAAATAAGCTCCCAAAGTCTTGAAACCCTAAACTCGGCGGCAAACAGTGTGCACTCTGAGGGGGTGACCTTTCCATTTTGAGGTGCCCTCGGTGGTAGGGTTGTTAATGATGGGGAATGTAGTTGTGTCAGACTGACCTGTACGTCCTTTTGTGACGTACAGCGCGAGCGCGAATGGACGCGACTGAAGAGAAGACACGCAATTGCTGAACTTGCAACCCTATCACCTTGTAAACCACACCCCTTGTCAAGGTGCAAGCATGTAAGCGCCCCGTCTGTTTCACTACCTGGTTAAGAGTTGGAATTCCTTGCATAACGACAGCATTCGCGATTATGGCGCTGGGAACTAGCAGTGTGTCGAAATTCCTTGCATGACGACAGGATTTGCGATTATGGTGCTGGGAGCTAGCGGTGCGTTATTGGGTGCGTGCGTGCTTTTTTCTTGTCTGGTCGTCGTGTATAGGTTTGCGCCTTGATGGTGAAACTTCAGTTGTTGCGTCTTTTCTCTTCTGTCCCGTCTGTTTGGGCTGTACGTTTTAATAACTGTGCCTTACCAACATGCCCAAGCTTCCATTTTGAACGGTCTTTGTTTGCGGCACAGGTGGTGATCGACGCCTTCCGGCTGATCAACCCCAACATGATGGTGCTGGGTCAGGAGCCCCGGCAGACCACCTCTAACCTGGGACACCTCACCAAGCCATCTATACAGGTAGAGCAGTCCTGCCGTAATTTCGGGACTATAGCCCACATGGTGTGTAATGGCAAATGGCGATTAGAAAGGATGTTTCGTTACATAGTCCGCAGCTGGTACATGTTCCACACCTGGTGGACCATGTACCAGCACACATTGACAAATGCCCGCTTTATTAGATCACAGAGAAACTTGTATTATATATAAATCATCATTACCATACTCTTTCACTCACACAATTGGTCCCGTCTCGTCACGACGAACAATCTCGAAAAAACTGGTTCCTGCGTAGTCCGCACCCGTAGATAGTCTGCAATGCGTGAAATTTCAGCTTTCAAACATGTATTGTCTGTACTGTATTTTCCGTAGTCCGGAAAATACAGTACAGATGTTTGCTTCCGGTTAAAATGATAAAAATAAATAAAAAGACAAGTAGAGGTGGAATGCTTTTATAGACTGGTTAACGAGTCTAGAGCAGGGGTCGGCAACCTGCGGGCAGTTTTGAACTAGGATCACGCGGTAGTTTTGACCTCAGATGGGGTTGGACAGGAACAAGGAGTGCTTCCAGCTGGCAATGTCCAGCATCCCCATATTGGGGTAAAGAATTTTAGAGCGCAGCCCCTAGGCGTCCGTTTCTGGCTTGATAGGCGTTGGCGTAACTGCGCATTGCATGCAAATGGTGTAACCGTGCGTTGCGTGCTAGCGGCGTAATTGTGCGTTGCATGCAACAGCGTAACTGTGCGTTGCATGCAACAGCGTAACTGTGCGTTGCATTATTGGTAGTTTCCCATAATGATGTCACGAGGCTACCCTCATGGGGGTTACGAGGGTTACCCTCGTGAGTGTCTTGAGCATTACTCTCACGAGGATTGCGAGGGTTAGTTCCCTCAAAAGGGTTACCCTCACAAGGCTTGTGAGAGTTACCCTCACGTAACCCCCACCCCCCCAAAAGGTCACACGACCCCCCCCTGAGGTCACGTGACCTCAGGGAGTCACCTACCCCTCAGTACCCTTCCCTCCTCCTCCTCAAGAGCTGTGCCCTAATCCGGCGTTACAGGGAGTTGTAAATGGCTTTCATTTCTTGATTCCTTTTCGTCTTCTCTTTGTTGTCTTCTATTTGCTTGCCCCGCCCCCTTCGCAACTCGCCGTCCTGCCCCTCTACGTCGGCTCGGCCCGCCGCCGCAAAAGGTTGCTGACCTCCATTCTAGAGGATCGCGAAAAGTCGTCGCGAAAATGCTATGACATGTGTCTTGACATTCAGTGGGTTTTCCCAAAGCTTTGGCCGGTAAACTTTTCCCTAAATATGGGTGATGCGTCATGTGACACAACTTCAAGCAATGACACAGTGCGACATATAGACATCGCGGGGTGTCGCGCGATGCCGCATCTTGCTGCACAACAATGTGGGACGACACGCGTAACGTGAAGGAGAGGTAGTGAAAGAAACACATTATTGCAGAATCCGTATTTTCTTTTCTCTCGGGCTGTTGGAAGGAAGTACCGCAATACTGTCCCTCCGATTCTCTCGTTTCTGAGACGAGTGTCGTTCGTTTGATGCGAAAAATAAAAAAAAAAAAAAAGAACTTGACTAAGGCACAGCGGACGAAGAGAGAGGTGCCCAAACAGAGCCAGAAAGGGGGCCGAAATTTCCTTCCGGCTTCGCGCATTTCCCAATAGGGGCATTGCCGGTTTAGGGCCCCCACACAGACGCGGTTGCGCATTGCATTGCCTCGAAGACACGTGCTCGAATAAAGCGCGAGACACGTGCAAAAAAGTTGTCTGATCCAACGTACGAATTATCGGATACGACAGGTTTAGTCACACCGGAGCGTTGGACAGGGGTCCGTCCGGCTCCGGCGTGCGACCGACTTGCCAGATGTTTGCCGCACGGCCGCAGCCAATGGCGGCACGGATGGTGCAAACGTCTCATTGTCATGTGACGGTCGGCCCGATCGGGAGGGAAGGCCATCGCTTGAAGACTCGCACCTTTGAGTTTTCTGCCTTTGGCTGCCTTTGAGTTTTTGTAAAGACCCGAATATGCTTGGGGTTCTTCATCTTCGGGTTTTGGGTTTTTCGAAATATGGGGGTTTGAAATCGGTTACTATTTTTTTAAACCGATGTATGACGAGAAGGGAGATTTTTGTAGAAATAATTCTGCAAATAGGGTGTTTCCGGGTTAATATATTTCTTAATGGGCATTCGAGGGTTACGGGGCAAAATGTTTTTTTTTTGCTTAGACGAGACCCGTCGAGTTTAGGGGTTAGTGTAGGAATCTGATGTTCAAGATCACATGGTCTTTTCGATTTAATAAATGCGTTTCCTTACATCTGACACAATCTGCATTCGGAGCATCTCTGCCTTTTAAGAAGAAACACAACAACAACAAAAAAATTATCTTTTTTTACTAATACAGTAAAACCTTGTTATAACAAAGTTGAAGGAGCGGTCGTAATTATTTTGTTATAACCATTAGTTTGTTATAGCCAATGTCCATTTCTTCCCACTATTAGCAAGCAAGGGGAATTATTATTGCTTTGTTATATCCATTAGTTTGTTATATCCCGTTTTGTTATAACGAGGTTTTACTGTATTTATTTTGTATTAATTAGGTAGAAAAAAAAATTTTTTTTTGCAAGGTTCAGTGTATTTTTTAGGCCAGAAAAGCCACAATCAAGCGGAATTAAACAGCATTAGAAGGGCGAGGGGAAGATCAATATTTTTGCTTCCTAGGCTAGGTGGTGCAAGGTACCGCCCGTTTTAAAGGGAGCAGCCATTAACATATATCCATTTATGCGGTGGTAAAGCATCCTTGTAGGGACGCCGGAACTGGGCGGAGCTGAATGGAGCGACGCGTTTGAAGCACGTCTCGAACCATCGTGTGCAGCGAATCGGAGCAGCCATTTCTCCGACGGTTGTTGCGTCGGATTGGACAGCTTTGTTGCGCATGTGTCTCGCACTTAAACAGCGGTTTCTCGAGCCCCTAGTCACGTCGCACATCTCGCGGCACTTGCCAGAAATGTGAGCAGACTTTAAAAGACTTTAAGGAGGGACGCGGGCTTTGAAAACCGGAAAATCGCGAAAAAGTCGATTTTTAGAAAACCTTATTTTTCGGTTGTATATCTCATAAACTACCTTCTCTGTAATTATCAGCACCAAATACAACGGGGAAATATTTAAAAACAATTATTTACGAGGCCTGAATAGCATCCAAGTGACGGTCAAACGTCAAAATCAACCCCAACTTCGCGCGCTCGCCATTTTCGACGCGTTGGGCCGACGGCCGCCATCTTAGTCTTGTTTTGAACGTGAATTCTTTCTCTTTTTTTTGCCAGCTCCCAAAGTGGCGTTGGCCGCGTGGTTACGGCGTGGTCGCCGTTCTTCCATGTCGCAATCGCAAGAACGCGATTGGACAGAGCGCGCGCTCGAGGAGCGTGCGGGGGAGCGCGCGACTGCTATTGGCTGGGACGCAATTTCTCCACGCGCGGACGGCGCGGAGCGCTTTCCTCCTCCGTTTCTCCTGCTGTTGCCGCTTGCGTCGTCTGCTTTTGGTAGTGGTCTGCTTGCACGCGCTCTTGCTTTGTCAGCTCCGCTTCGTTTTTCGCCATCTTTACGATCGTTTTCCGAACTTTCTTTGAGTAGTTTCGTGTAGCGTGCCCGTCTGTTTTGTGGTCGCACACGATGCGGGGTTCGAAGTACAAGACGGTGCACGCGTTTGGCGCGCGGAAGCGGTCCATGAAGTTAGTGCGGATGGCGAAGTTGGAAGTTTCTGCACGGCGTGCCGTCAATGATGATCGCGTCAACACTTCCAGTGATGGATTTTCTGTGCCATCGGCTGTCGTCGAGGAAGAACGCATCGCCCCGCTCACGCCTGGAGTACCGAGCATGCCGACCGTTGTGGTTCCTCCCGAGATCGCGGGTCCCAGCGCCCGTCTTCCGCCTGCCGCGACAAGTAGGAGCGCGTCTTCTAGCACCCATCTGCGGACGCATTTCCTGACGCGTGAGGAGATCGAAGCAGAAGCTAGACATTGTGATATTGCTCAAGCCGAACTTGGAGCTATGCCAGCAAACTGCACTGCATGAAGCGGTGTTGAGGCTCAACGCCGGCTGCTACAAGGCAACTGCAGAAATATCGGTTGCAGTGGGACTTCAGCCGACCCATCTAGCCCTCCAACAAGCTGCCGAGAAAGATGCCCTACGTCTGCATAAGGCCAGCAAACGACATCAAGACAAGTTAAAAAGGCGGAACCAGAAGAAAGTGCGCAAGAACACTTCTGACTATTCTGCAGGGTCATTCTAAAGCCGAAAATCTGCGTGCAACTTTCAGGTGCTGTTTTCTCAGAATGGATTTTTTCACTGTCGTGGCTGCTCGTCCCAGCGATATCTCAGAAACTGATGAATGGATTTTTGTGCTGTCTTTTTTATTCTGTTCTCTAATAACTTTGTGAGGGCATAACAGAGCCCTTTTTCTAGAAAACTGTACTAAAAATTTATAATAAAAAAATGAAATTTGCTGAATGTGGGTTTCATTGACTACACAAAATTCAAAGTTGCGTTAAAATTTTTCAACAAGGAAATTTAAAAAAAGGGCTCTGTTATGCCCTGGGGAATGTATCCAGGGGTCATCATAACAAATTTTACGCCGCTACTACCTTTTTCAAATTCTCCAGACCTGGGATAAGGAATGCATATGGACGATTTTGATAAATATTTGTAACTTGAGAAATAATATGCACAGCTCCATGAAACTTTGCAGTTACTCTTATGTCAGTGCTATAAACACATTCTGTAAATTTCATTCAGATATCTCTAGAAATAAGAAATTTCATATTTATTCCCCATTTCCTCCCTTAAGGGGAGACACTGCCCAGAAAAAAAAATTTCTGCAAAAAAAGTTGATTTTGAAAAATGATATCTTTACATCCACCAACATCTAGAGAGTATTCCCAAAAGGTTTCATTAATTTTCACTGTATAGTTAATTTTTTATAAATTATTTTCTGTCCACTAAAGCTATAGTAAAGGTAGGGTTTGGAGCACTTTGAACACATTTTTCTCCGTTCCACTTTTTGGTATAAATTCCATTTTAGTCAATCTATCGTTTGATAATGGCAAAACAGGGAAAGCTCATTCTTCCCTTTTCCTGACTGAAATTTAATAAGGAGTGCGGCTATGGAACTTTTTCGTCACTTTACGGATGTCTTTTGTAAAAAATGTTGACATTTTGTCGAAGGCACAGAAGACCAAAAAGTTGACCAATTTTGCAGAAGAGAAAATTTATAGAAATGAATTATTTTTTAGAAAAAATGTTCCATAGCCGCACCCTCTAGGCATTCTGCTACATATCCAGCAAATAAAAATCTTTAATATCGCAATAGTTTTCTGACGATAGATTAACTAAACAACGTAGGCGTGTTGCTGATAGAAGCTACTCTTATTTTCTTCTCATTTAACCGACAGACCTGAAATTTTGTTATACACCCTCTAGCATGACCACCAGCCTACCCTGTAAGTTTCATTAATTTTAAGACAAGGGTTCAAAAGTTGACCCCCCTAGGGGGTGTGCCCCCTTAAAGGGACACTGACAGGGTATTTATGCTCGCCGAGGTTTTGATTTGTACGTGACATATGAGAGCTCAACTACCCAGAACAGAATTTGCGGCTCGAAATTCGGTTTCTTTCCTCCCGAAAACCGCCGATCAAGAACTGGCCGGTTCGAGTCTCGCTCACTCTCTTTTCCGCGGTCACGGGCCGTTTTCTAAGGTATCGATGCGACCACCAAATTTGATCAAAGTCGTGGGTCACTGAAGGCACACACTCAATATTAAAAATAGAAAAAAATATGAAACCAATTTTTTGTGGCTTCTAAACAGCTGCAAATACGTTGATTGAAAAAAAAGTTCCACAGACAACCGGAAGCATTCTGTGCGTTCGTCTTTTCGCGTATCGTGGAACTCGCGGGGACGGCGGTGGCAGCGGACGACGGGCGTGGGACCTCTATTTCAGAACTGTCGTTCGCGGTACCGGCGAATTCTGTCTACCTTTAAAAGAGAAATTAGGGACTGATCAAAAGAATTGGTATTCATCCCGTACGACACGCCCGACCACCAAGCCGATTTGCACGAAGACGTCGCCGAGCCGTCGCTCCCTTCTCGTGGATGAAGACATCGCTCGCGCAAACGTCAAGCACGACGTGTCTACTTCGAGTTGAATATGCACGCGTACGATTCCTTTACAAGGTGCGAATGTCGCCAATGCGTGGTGCTTCCCGACTTCGACCCGGGAGTGCTTTTGCTAGAGGAAAATCGGCAGCAAACTTTCCAACTTACAGTTTACCGGCTGAATTATTACTAAGAAAAGAGATCCCGCAGTAAAGGGTTGCCCCGGTAGCTCAGTGCGAAAGACGTCCGCCTCACATGCGGTAGTACCCGGGTTCAATCCCCCGTGAAACCTTTTTTTTTTTTTCTTTTTTTCAACATTTTTTGTTGTTTACATATCTTTTTTTTTTTTAATTATCACTAAAGAAACAAACAAAAAAATAACAAACACATGTTGTGGACGACACTTCGCTGAATTAAATGGTATGAAATTTCCTTTTTGACACCTGCGAACTCAATGTAATCACTTTCCACAAAATGCAAGGGGCATATAAATCAGGTACCGTCCGCTTTCCGAGGTGTCCGTATATGTTCTACGGGAATTACAGCCAGCCATTGGTCCCGATCCCGTTGATCTTTCGGAAACTCTGTCGCACAATGCCCCTTTTTTTTTTCGGACGCAGGACAAGTGAGCCAGCTCTTCACGCAACATCTTGGGTGTATTCTTTTCGGAGCCGATCATGGAAATTCACCACGGGCACTCACTACTCATCTCCAACTTCTTAATGTACAAAACAACTCATCTCGGAGTACAGAACAACGAGCGGAACGAACATAACTCCAAAAGAATGTTTTTCCCCTTTTCCTTTCCCCTTATCCACGGTGTATGCGGCGACCGGCTAGCAGGCGCACAAGCGTAAGGGTTGTTACCTTTCTGCCTAGCCTCGCACATCGTCGCATATACATCATACTTATTGTGCAAATAAATTACAATTACAATTACAATCACGGCGAACAGTTCCCGCACGCCGCATCGCACGCCGCATGTCCTGTCGTCTGCTACCGGAGAGGAGAAAAAAAAAAAAAAAAAATGCACGGTCGGGTGTAGCCACGTGACTTCCGCACTCCACTCTCTTCTCTCCACTTCTCCGACCTCCGTCGGGTTTCGGTTTCGGTTTCCAGCAGTTGCGTCTTTTGGCTTTATTAAAAAAATACGCCACGCTGTTGCAAAATATTAATTGGGTAGTCCTCCGACACCATAATGAAGCGCCTGGCAAAATATGAAAAAAAAGTTTTGGGGGGTGTCAGTGTCCCTTTAAACACAATTGTTCCGCGGCGAGGCAGCACGGGGGTGGCGTGTCACTTGGGTGTACGAGCCTATAATTTGCGAAATTCGTTACTTCGTACTGTGAAAAGTTGTTGCGTATCATGCCTTTGGAGGACACTTAAAATAAAGCAAACTTACTGAAGCCAGGTTTAGGAAGTTAGGATTTGCAAAATGGGGATTCGTCATGATGACGGCCCGTTCCTGTGAACCACAGGAACGGGCCGTTCTGAAATATTCGTTGAACGAGCATACTTTTTTGCTTTCTCTATGATGCCTGAGAGGTTTGGGCAGAGACAAGAGCCCTACAGTGAGGTGTGAGCAGGCATCCGCAACCCTCAGCCTTTGATTGCGCTGAAGGCATGCGGTCCTTTCCGTGGCATTGCCGGGAAAAAAGATTGCCTAAACGCGACATACAATGTCTGAGTTAGTTATGCTGAACACGGATGCGAGGGGCCGTTTTGTGTGGCATACAAATGTACATATTATTCGAGAAATGGTCGTCTATAACATCGTCGAAAGTTTTTTCGAACCGGTAGCGAAAGAACGACGAGCGGAAGAAATGGGAAATGTACGGAAATCTCTTTTGTTTGCGGCCACCCGACAAACAACGCCGCTCTCATCATCAGCAGTCACAAGTGTTTGAGCGAGCAGTTTAAAACCGGCCCATAAAAGCATCGTCCCTTCAAAGCTGCACGCTTTGAGAGTCGCGTTGTACCGGTGGCAGTATGGTGCTGAACGGCTCGCCGCTCTGGTTCCCTCTGCAGGCCCTGATCCACGGCCTGAATCGCCACTACTACTCCATCTCCATCAACTACCGCAAGAATGAGCTCGAGCAGAAGGTGAGTCGACCCCGTCTTCGAACATTGGACACATTGTTTCCGCCGCGGTGTGGTGCCCGGGATTGTACGGCAATGACAGTCAAGGGTTGCCGAAGATGTCGCAAAACTCGTTTTTGTGATTGTCTTTTTATTGCACAAACTCGGTCTATATGGCTATGTATCTGTCTTTTTAGGGCACAAACTAAGTCTATATGGCTTCGCATCCTAGAAAAACCGAAAATAGGGGGGGGGGGGGGGGGGGGGTGCTTGGCCTTTTCTCCCATTTAAAATTGGTGACAAAACAGAGCGACACGCTCCTTTTCATAGGAAAACAGGGCTGCGCATGATCGTGATTTCGAACTTTTAAGGTCACCTGGGCTTTGTAGGTTCAGTTATCACCGTAAAATGCGACCTCGAAATGCAATTTATTGTCCCTTTTAGTGTCAAGACTGGGGATGCCGCTGCGCTTTTTGATTCAAGCCACTATTTGTGCACCCTTATTGCTCGATGCTGAGTCTAGCGGTCCGGTAGAGTGGGTGCAACATAAATTGGGAGTGCTTGACTGCAGCTGCTCGTGCATTGTCTTTCACTGGTTAAGCAGGTTCAGATTGATGTTTTCAGATCACTCACGAGACACCAGCATTACTTTGCTTAGAATGTGAGCTAACCTCGATTCACTCTCGTTCGGGAGGAAACTCCCACGCCTGTGTCTGCTTCGTGTAGTCTACTATCGTAACAGTGACGTCTGTGTTTCGTAGTCATTTCCACCCAGTCATATTTTCCCCCGCAATAATAATGTGGGTAAAGTTTTGCCCTGTTTTCGCTTCATCTGTCTCATTTCTTTTGTTCTATGTCGCCGTTAGCAGTAGCGGAGAGGAAAAGTCTGCCTAACAGCGTCACAAATCAAAATGATTGTACAGCATTTATAGCACTTCTGACAGTCTATCTTCAGTCTCTCTCATACCGTAATAGACCTTTCCGGAAGATCGCGCAAGGCCTCTCTCCACCCCCCATTGCATCGTGCGGCACTGGGAATCATAGGGCCGTTTCAAAGTATGCTCGGGCCGCCATCTTGGAAGCGACTGAATTCCTTCCCTCTTTTTACTCAAAGTTCCGAACGGAAAGAAAACGGAGCAAATGCATGACAAAGCCGATACATACCATGTTTGGTTACCGTCCCGCTTTCTATGCCTTCTGAAATCGCAAAATGTCAAACAAACGTAAACCACCCCTATCTAGGGGCGCTCTTTCACGCGCATACATTAAATTGCTGTAGTGCATCGAAAAGACGATGGGAGGCACCACATATTTCCGGAATGGTCTATGGACTAAAGTTTAACACAGAATCTGTTTATCTGTTTACAGCCAATTTCAGTGGCCGTCTGTAATGTTTAGCTGCAACAGCTGGCTGCAGCGACCAGCTGTAGCGGACGGTCGTAATAAATAAAATGACACCGAAAAGCGTGGCGCTCATAGGGAATCAAATAAAAAAACTCGAGTCTGCCGGCAGGAATGCGCGACCAAACAACTGCTTGGTCGTACGATGTGTCGGAAAGATGGCTGAACCGTATCAGGCTCGGATCAGTCATTGCATTGTGTGCATTCATGTTCGGCCGTAATGGACTGGTTCTGATCGGGTCTGTCCGTCTTTTTGATGCGGCGTACGATCAGTCAGACGTTTAGTCGCATATGGGTACGGCCTGACCGGGCCAGCAGTAATTCTCACCTGTAGAGTGCAATAAAAAGAACCTGCGAGGATGCCATTTCCTACTCATTATGAGCTAGAAGCAGCTGTCTAGGTATGGGTGTTAAGCTGCCACACAGGTGCCACATAAGCATCTGGCTACAGGGGGAGTGTTCCGAGAAGTTTGTGCACAAACCCTCCAAGTGACTGAGGCAAAAAAATAAATTGTAAATGAAGATGGTGTGTCCCTCGTATATACATACCTTTTTAGTTTGTTTTTATATAATAACATCCGGATGGTGGGGATGGCAATGCAGATGCTGCTGAACTTGCACAAGAAGAGCTGGACGGACGGCCTGACCCTGCAGGACTACGACGAGCACTGCAAGGTCAACGAGGCCACGGTCACCGAGATGCTCGACTTGGCCAAGGCGTACAACAAGGTGGGCGCCCCTTTTTCCTCGGCGACCCGACCGACCGATCAATCCATCCGTCCTGTCAATGTCCACAGCGTGGTATCGCTATGATGCCCGGAATGCCTCCTCCACCGACGCGTATGGTGTCCCGTTCCGCCCGCGTGTTCAGAGTGTTTTTGAAGTGGCAATAAAATGCGTCGCGGGAGCTGCCGTGTCGCGCCATCGGATGTCGCGTTTTGTTGCCGTCGGATGTCGAAACGCCACATTTGAGGACCCCTTCTTCCTCCAATCCGAAAATGCGCGTGATAACTTTTTATTCGCATTTTCGAACTGCCAGCATTGCGCCTGCTGCACAAGCGCAAACTTAGGCGCATCCATGTGCTTGCCACAGGCCTCGAAATTTAAAACAATTTACCGATGTCCACTCTGTGTCACTGGTTGCGTGCAGTACAGGCGAAGGCAATGCCTGTAGAGGGAAGAAAGGACACACACCAGGAAGCAGGCAAGGAGAGAAACCTCCTCTTTTTCTTTAACGGTCCCAGTGCTCTCCCTTTATCCTCTTATCCTCCTCTCCCGTTCTGCCTTCCTAGTGCATGCCCTTTCTCTTTGCCTGGCATTGCCTGTGCTGCACACAACTAGTGACATGGAGTATAGTGGTTTTAGATGACCTTGGCAAGTTTCTAATTAGAACCGTGCAATTATTTTTACTAATTAAAATGATAATTAACACGCTTTACTTATTTTACTTATCACAGCGATTAGCCCCTCATATTATGTCCCCCTGGCCGTATAACTTGCCCGCACAGACCGTATTCTTCTACCTTTCACATTTCAGAGAAAATCTGGTCTATAATAAAAATTTAACACCCTTTATATGTGGCTTTCTTGTCATCAGATATACAGTATAGACCACTTACAACGTAACCGCTTGTAGTGCAGGACCGGGTATAACGCGGTTTTTTTTAACCACCGGTTCACCTCCCATAGAACTCCATGTAATTACATACCGCTTAAAATGCAGGCGCGCGAAGGGAAATACCGGTTATAGTGCGGTTTTTGGCAGAGCCCGCCGACCGCGCCGACGACCGGAGCAGCGAGCTCGCTTCCCTGTGCGACACTAGATAACGGCGCTGACGGCGCGAGCCGCACGTAGTAGGCTCCAGAGCCGTGTATGGCTCTGGTAGGCCCTAGCCGCACGCTGCACTAGCGGGGCAAGGGTGTTGCTCGAAAAAGCGGGCAGAAGCGAAGAGAGAGGCTTCAGTTGCCTTAGCGACGGAGGGACACACGCACGTGTCGTTCACGTGCGTGCGTCCCTCCGCTGCTTTGGAAACAAAGAAACAAACAACCGCAACGACAGACCAATCGCAGGTCGAGGAGAAGTGTTCGCGCGCGTTGCATGCTCTCTCCTTTCCCCCCAACCTCTCTTACAACGCTTCTCCTCCTCCTCCTCCTCTCCGGTCGCGGGCCGGCTGCTGCTATCCGTAAACATGGCGTCGGTTGTGATCGTCTTCGTAGACGGCGTTCATCTCATCGTTCTGCGTTATTCTGCGTAAAAGCGCTATCCTTGACTGTGAATTTTCGTTGTGTGTCGCTGTGATAACCCAGCACGTAGTACTAGAAGGGAAGATCCACCTACTCGTGCGGCGATGTCGTGGCGGCGCTCTCAAGACGGCAGAAACGCCCGTGTCGTCGTGTTTGTTTACTTCGACTACAGAGGTGATTTCTAAGCATTTGTGTCCTCGAACATCGCCCGGATTTCTTATTTGGCGCATTTCATGCGTGTGCTCAAGTTCAAGGTATTACTGGCGCGTACGTATGAAGGATGCGAATTTTCACGCGTTTTCATCTCCGGAGAAAAGTGATTAGGGTTAGCAATCCTGAACGCTCGCAACGTCCGTCCGCAACTCGGGACGCCGTTAAAAGGCTGCGCCAGGCAAAAGCCGCTCATTTCTTTCAAAATGTGTGACACACTTGAGACAGAACTGTACTAGTCTAGTGAAATAAAGACTTTCCTCAAACTAAGCTTTATTTTTAATCTACCATAATAAATTCTTTTACAAAGGTAAGTTGTTTCATGGCATGTATTTTGGCCTGAAAAATTGATGTTTTGGTTATAGCGCGGTACCGCTTATAGTGCGGATTTTCGCGACTCCCGAGACATACGTTATATGCGGTCTACACTGTATTAGCATTTATAACCTGCTTACCCTTACTTAGGTAATTGACGGTTTTTGTTGTTTTATGGACCCTCCAAGTTTACGATGAGAAACTTGCACAGGTTTTCGAGTGGTGTTGTAATGTCACACCAAAAAGGTAATGGCCGCATATGGCACATTATTTGGAGGATGGGACCTAACATAGGCGTGCTTGGATCACAAAGAACTTGTTGAGTGCACGTCTTACAGTGGTGCAGCATATGTGTGCTCAAAATTCTTTTGCTCTTCTCTCAATGCTTAGTCTTTGGAGGAAGAAGACAAGATGACCCCGGAACAGTTGGCCATTAAGAACGTTGGAAAACAGGTGGGTTGACGTTCTGCTGTTGAGAGTGTCTCTCCTTGGTTTAATTGTTGGCCTTTTGTTTTAATTCAAGACAGGAGAAAGCAAGTGTGGCATTTAGCCACATTTTTGTTTTAAGGGGGGACACTGGCTAGGAGGTCAAACTTCTGAACTACTGAAATGATTAGAATGAAATTTGTAGGGGAGATTTAACTTCAGACGTAGGTGTACTGTGCAAACTTTCAGCTCTCTACGTCAAATTTACATACATGCATAAGATGATGCGTCACTCTTTGTTAAGAAATCTATGATATGCAAATGAAGGTATTAAGCACCATTTTGGCTGCTTGAATACTAAGTGGGAGATATGGGACTTCGGGCTATCTAGTTTAAATAACTTAAATGTAAATATTTCAGGAAGAGTTATTACCTCAAAAAATAAAAAGCATTTTCTGCCCTGTGTCAATTCTTTAAAACTTAGTTTTTTTATCACTGGGGACTTCAATTTAAAACAAAATAAAGTAGATAGCCCCATTCCCCAGTAAATTTCAGTTCAGAAACATCTTGATTGTGGTGTCAGAATACTTTTACCTTTGAACAAAAGATTCCTTCGTATGAAATTTGCAGCAAAAAGTGGAACTGAGAAAAAGGCATTCAGACATTGAACTCCTTACTTTGTTACTGCCTCACAATGTGTTGAAAATATTTTATATTAACGGTAACTATTTGGCGTTTGGTTATCGAATTTGGTGTAAGGGTGTATAAGTAGTTTCTAAAACCGATAACCTCAAAACTGAAAAATGATTTTTTTCAAAAATATTTGAAATTTAGGCCCATGTCCCCCCTTAAAGTGTAGTTTATAAGCTGGTCTTGACATGTTTGCAATTTTTCATTGCATGTCACGGAAATTCTCACACATACCATTGTTCTCGGTGATGAAGACATGTAGAATAAGCTTATTTCCTTTCTATTATCTCTTCCAGTACACAAAACATAACTTTAATGCAAATGTTTTGGCACAACTTTTTTTACAGCACCGTTATCAGAAACTATGGCACAAAGTATGTCTCTTCATTTTAGCAACAGGAAGTACTATAACAAAACTTTTTTTTAACTTTAACATATTGCCCAAAAATTTGCACATTAAAAGTGGATTTTTAAACCGTTCTTTACGACGATAACTAAATCTTTGTGGCCCAAGCGTCCTAAAAAATAAAAAAAAGAATATGATAATGCGTGGTCTTTTTTTTTTATTAGAAGTAGGGATGCTGCAAACTTTTTTCGAACCGAAGTTTCGATGACCGAATCAAGCGGTTTGAAAGGTTAGAAAGATTTTGAATTTTCAAACTTTCTATGTTGAGAAATTCGAGGGGAGTCGAATTATCAAACTTGTTAAGCTATGAAGATCGACGCTTTTCAAAATTTCGAACTTTGCACGTTCAGAAATGCAATGTTTTTCAAACCTTCAAACTTATTACGCAAAAAAAATCTGATTCTTTTTGACCTTTCGAATTTATTATGCTGCAAAATTTGATGTTTGTTGAACTTTCGAACTTGATAGACATTCAATGATTTTCGAACTTTCGACCTTCTTGCACTACAAAGTTCAAAGCTTTTTGAACTTTCTACGCTTAGAAATTCTATAATTTTCTAACTTTCAAGCTTATTTATTCAGAGAATTTGAAAAGTTTCTCTCGAGTTTTAAAAAACGAAAGTTCGACGAACTTCAAACTTTTAAAGTAGAACTGCGAAGTTTGTCGAACTTCAAAAGACTGGCAGGCGGTTTCATTTGGATTCAAACAATAAAGTACATTCATAATTTTTTTTTTTTTTTTTTCGAATATTTACATGCGGTGTTGCATTCCTTGTGAAAGGCAATGCCATTTATTTCAATGTTCTGGCATCCTTAGTTTTAAAGAAATAGATTCCCGAAGGAGCGAGGAAGGACCACGGGCTTTTGACAATTGTCGTTCGTGCCATATTGGAAGCGCGCTATAGCTGAAGATATTTATGATAGAGGTGTTAAATTTCTTAAGAATGATCTGTGTATAGCCTAGGTAAGTGTCGTCTTAAGATGTGATTATTCTTATTCAAGATGAGTTTCAAAGAAATGTCCAAACATGTATCTACAAGCAATTATGCCCTAAACTTTGTAATTTTTTTCGTCTAAATTGTTTGAGGTATCGCATTTAAATTTACACCAGAGACAGTATGTATCATTATCTGCAGAATACAAAATAATGTATTTATTGATTCTTCATGCTAAGGAATAAATTGACTCATGGGGGAAGATTTCTGATATTGTTCAAGTTCAGCACATCATAAAAGGAAAGCAATTTTTAATATTTTTAATATTTTTTTTTGTTTTATGTTTTTGGGACGTGTTTCTTTTAGCCTGTACACATTTTGGTAGGAGAAACTTGTTTCGAAGTTCTGAAATTCAAAGAGAATTTCAAAATTTTCGAATCTCTCGAATTATAAGTTAGGAAAGTTCAAAATCTTCGAATTTCTAGAACCTCAAGTAAAAAAATATTTAAAATATTCGAGCCCGAACTTTTAGAAAGCGTGAAAGCTTCAAACTTTTCGAATTCAAAACTCCACAGTGTTCGAAAGTTGCGAACTTTTCGAATTCGAGCTTCGATACGGTTCGAAAACATCAAAATCTTTAGAATTCAAACCTTAGTTCGGTTTAGAAAATATCGAAACCTTTTGAGTTCAAACCTAGGGTGGTTCGTGACATCCCTAATTAAAAGCATGACCAAACACTCGCCTTATATTGTAGATATCTGAGAAATGGGGCCTGTCTCAACATTTGGCTGTGACACGCCCCTTTTTTGTTGGATGGATGGACGAATACGCGGAATACCCAAATCTGGTGCCAGCTTGCGCCGTCTATGCGGTGTTTTTGGTTTCAATGGCTTGCATATCTACATTTTCAGGACCCCAAGCGCCATCTGGAAGAGAGGGTGGATGTCCTCATGACCTCCAACATCGTCCAGTGCCTCGGAGCGATGCTGGACACCGTGGTGTTCAAGTGAAGATCCCCAAACTATTTAATTTTGCCAATCCAGGACGATGGGAAGATGGGGGGAGTGCCCACCCTCTTCAGCTGTACGGGAGTTTTTATTAAAACATTTAAAAACTCTGGGAGACACACAAGGTTCTGTCCTAGAAGTTATCCTGAGGTCGTCCTAGACGTCATCCGAGGGGCTGTCCTCTAGGTGTTGTCATTGAGGTCGTCCCAGACGTCGTCCTTAAGGTCGTCCCACCATAGTACAGCTTCGCTGGTCTTTCTTCACCAGATGCATAAATGTGAGCCAAACACTCGTGCGCATTATTGTTTACAGGATCCAAGTTCGTTAAATTGCTTTATTATATCATTGCCGAGACAGGCAGGGGTTCCCTGGCTTTCAGTCGAGCCAGATTAAAAAGCTTGCAAACATTCCAAGGCATTTGTGTTATCAGTGATGGCCATCCCAAATTGGTATTGCCAGGGGGAACTTTTAAAGGAAGATAAAAAGTAATATGAGGTAGGTTCTAAATGGTAATGTCAGAACTCCATCATTACATACTTGTGCAGAAGTAAATTGCGTTGTCATTTGCTCGGCGTTTGGTGCAGTCACTCTCACTTTTATGCGAAAGTGTAAACCGAGGGACTGGTTGAAATCGAGGCTGTTTCAAACATTTGCATGTGACGGAATGTGCGGTGCTTGTTTGCAATTACAAAAAAAGACAATATATATATATATTAAAATATAAAGAATAATAAAGAATTATCACTGCTAGTGCCTAAGAGACCTTTTGGTCAAATACTCAAGCTCCCTCTGTGAGAGAGAACATGCTGGCCCACCGTCGCCATTTATTGGGTAGTCCACTCCTCATCTGCATACAACTATATACTGAAGGTTTGGCAGTACTTGTGGGACCTACGCACTATGAGAAACCCGCACATGCATTGTCAAAATTAATTCGAGGCAAAAGAATTACATAGGGCAAATTAGAAAATGTGTATGCAGGTGGAAAAGTTCTGGTGCCATCTGGTAGGTGGCGCCACTTGCTTTCTCCATTCTCACCAGATAAGACGACCAAAGTCGAGTGATGCGGGGTAACCTTTCGTATGAACTATGCTGGTACTACTGGTCTTTACAGAAATGACCAAGCAATAATATGCACTCGTAAGCCTCACTTTTACTGGTTAGTAAATATGCTGCGCAATTGCAGACTTCTGGAGGGTGGTCTGTGCAGATTATTGAGAAAGCCCGTGGCTTGCATTCTAATATTTTGTGATCCTTGGTACTCATCTTTGCCATAGACACCTTTTTTTTTTTTTCCGACACTCTGGTAATTTATTGCTAATTGTGACGAAACATCATTCCGTGTAGCACGCTGATAAATTGGGACACACCAGCGTCATTCTTGACTGCTGTGGAAGTCGGGGCTTTGCTATGTACCGAATAGACGGATGCATACGGCGAAACCCTTTGAATAGGGCATCAGCTTGAGCCACCTAACCAGTGTTGTTAACCCCAACCTAATACTGGAAGTGCGCGACGACACACTGACGTCACGGTGCTGCTCCTAGCAGAAGTATTTTGCACAAACATCACGTGTAGCAGCTGGCTTTAGTAATTTATAATGAATGTCAGCATGCCAGACCACAGTGCCATACAAAACGATTGAGGCCACAATCGGCACCAACTTTTTTTGACACGAGACTCGGAAATCGAAAACTCGTTCCTTCCATGTGCCGGCGAAAACAGCCACAATTGTCTCGATCTCTGTACAGAGATCGAGACAATTGTGGCCGTTTTCGCCTGCACCAGTGAGCAAAGAGTTATCTTATAATAAGAGGTGCAAAAAATACTTCTCGCATAGATTTTATGCTTAGTGGCACCGGTAAACAGGTACTAAACGAAGGGAATGTTTACAAAGCATATTTATGTTATTAACGTAGTAATGTATGCTTATGCTACAAAGAATAAACTTGATTGTAGATTGAAAAACAACAATGCAAACTTTATTTGTTTATTCAACAATGAATGCGACGGGTCTGTCGGTGAAATGATGGGGTGACGATGAGAATGTCTGGATGTGGTGTCCGCCTTAAAGATGCTGCAGCCTCGTGTGGTCTATCTTCTCCAACTCTACGAGTCTGGTGTCACCTGGTTAAGAAAGGGAAGCGGAGACTACAGGAACGACTTTGGCCCAATCCAGCCATGTACCGTCAACCTAAATAAAACGAGAGGGCAAAGCGTGCGACCTCGGATGAATGCGAAGGTGTGCGCCTACCACAGCGACGCTGCACCACACCTGCGTCATATGCAAAAGAATAAAAATGTTTTAATATTGGTCGACTTGTTAAGAGGGAGAGAGAAAAAGAAAATGCTACAAATACATACTGCACGACGCCCCTACTCGCCGTATGACTTCATCTCGAGTCGGCGCGGTGAAGGATTAAACACATACAGCCACAAGCACACATACTAAAAGCGAGAGTCGTAAACATTAGCTGCACTAGATTTGTTTAGCCGACCAGGGAACACGTACAGGAAGATGGAAAATGCCATGCTGTCGCTCACTGAAGCTGTTTGATTGTTCTCATTTGCTCGTAGCGTCGGCTGCGCTTTGACTCGAAGTGGAACAAAGTATATAGGCATTCCTCGTCAACTGTGCTGGCCGGTTGATGGTGGACGTCGTCTAAATCCAGACAATGTCGGGAACTAAAAGTCACGAGCAAACTGCGAGATAGGGTGGCGGCTACTGCAATACTACAGGACCAGGGTATTGTACTCCCGATGAGATTGCTCGATTATTGTGTCTGCCACATGTCTTTGTAACGTGGCTACAGTGTACCGTGGCACCTTGCACCGCTTACGTCAACCTTCACCGCCTTTCACCAACACGCGTACAAAGAGTTTCACTGCTTTACACCGGAGTGTTCAGAGCAGCTGCTCACATGGGGAGTGCCTGGGGGGTTAACGCGATAGGCTCGGAAAGCTCCGAATGATTGCGGGTCGACCTTCTTTGATCTTGATTCTAGGTTGAACTAATTTTAAAAAGATTCTCCGAAAAAGTGTAAAAAAAATATGGGTCTGTAATTTGAATTAATATGGTAGTCAATTGGGCAGTGTCTGTGCAGCTGTCGATCCAAACAGTGGCAAACTTTGACTCAACTCTGGTTTCAACGGCGCTGAAGACCAGCGTCGCCTTGAAAGCACACAAGGCTCCCAGAATATTTGTGGTAGGCTGCTTTTGCAGTATAAGATATTAGAGTCTCGCATTTGGTAGGCTCATAAAATTCGGGGGACTCGTTTTTATTGATAGACACGTTAGTGGATACACTCGATTGAGCTGGCAATTTACAGAAGTTATATTTAAAGGCTAAAAAAACTACGGAGTGTAAAAGAGGGAGGGAAGAAGCTCTATCCGAAATGAAATGTTCTGATGATTAATTTTTCAACCTTTTTTTTTTATACTCATTGTAAATAGAACCTACTTTGACCAGGGCCTTCTTTCTAAGAGGAAGGCTCTGTGTTCCTTTTGTGCTCTATCTATTCTTATTACAAAAGGTAATAAATAGTAAGTAATATTCTGCAGTATCGAAAAGAAACACTCAGTCATTATCAAAGATAATTCATTTAGCGAGCCAAGGTATCGTAAGCTGACGAAGCAACGAATGCATATTTCTCGGCTACTGGGCCATTCGCGGATGAAAATTGGACGGGAAAAAACCAACGCGTCGTCTGCTAACAGAACAGAAAATAAGTAAAGTGTCTGCTACGAATAGAGTCCCGGAGACGACATGGTTGAGCACAAGCTGAGATTGTGAACTCCCGCAATTTCCGATTGGAAGTGATTTGGGAATCCAGACTTGCTTTGCGAACCTTACTCTTCGGCAGTACACAGGCACAATCCGCCGGCAGACAAAGAAGCACATGCAACAACCATATCCGCATTCTCAAGAGCTCTCTTGCCATCTAATATTCGTGAGACATTCTTGCGAAAATGTTGCTCGACCGTGGACTCCCGATCGAGTCAAGACCTTCTCAATGTTCGATAACCTTCTCGGAGCAAAAAGATGCAATGGCACGTCTAACTGAAGCGTAGATAGATTGAACTTGTGGCCTAAAAGGAGAAGGTTGTAACCGAAAGAGTTTGCACACTTCTGGCTTAGGCTCTGCTGCTACAACCATACTTTGTTGCACTCTGTGTGCAGTGCCAGTGAGACCGTGGGTTTGGGCTGCACTGGCAAAAAGCATCTGCTAGCATTACAAGTGCCTGCTAGGGATAGAAGGGCACGCATAGCCTTGGTTCCACTAAGATTCTAGAGTGCAGCCCACTAACCAAGACTCGGGTGAACACATGTCCCGAAGAATTGCTTTAGGAAAAGCAGAAAGGAAAAAAATGAATGCAAAAAAGGATACGGTTTGAGTTGGTCTGCAAATGCTTTCATCTCGTCGCCAAGTGATTCCTGAAAAGAGTAAGATGCTTAACTTGAGTCAACCACCCGAGGAAATGTCCGACAACATACTGGATTAAATTGGATTTATATGCACTTGAGATACCGTGAAAAATCCTAAAATTTACAAAGAAAACAATGTAGCGACTGCTTGTACGAGTGCCAGCACTATGTCGAGCAAAATGAAAAGACGATCCAAATCAAATTGTTTACTGAGTATATTGAAGCCTTATATAACCAGCGTTTGTCTGAGGTAATTTTTTAAAAACTAAAAGCTGAATGCAAATTATTTTTTCCAACATGTACAAGTTCTAATACGCACTACAATTTTGGACATACAGTCGCCGACCAATTTTTTGGACACCAATGATTCGGACTTGTTCGATATTTTGGACCTAAAGGACGAACTGTTACCTACCCGATATGAATATATTCACGATCAATGCTTCAGACAACTTGAAGTCCCAAAGTTTGATTTTTCGGACAAAATCGTAGCAAACGATCAGTGGGAAACATCACCAAGAAGCTGCCTTTTTAGATTCTATGTTGGCTGCACATGGATTGGCGTGGTTTGGCGGTGATACTCAAGTACTGCCAAGTCTTACCGCTAGGTGATGCTATGCTACGGATTTTTTTTTCTCTCTAGCTGAGCGTCATTATCATCATCACTGTCACCATTTTGCTTTGTTCATTCGTCATT